AACCTATTAGTCCATGGGGTGCATTAAATAAGTAAAATCCCATGACAAATTAATCTAGACTAGAAATCAGAAAGTGTGTAATTACTAAGGTCAGTCAGGTTTGAAATAGCCTTCCTATTACAGCAGAGGTAATAGCAATATACAACTAATTATTTTTAAATTAGAGCTGAATAAATTTACAAAACCCCCTAACAATGCCGAGATCACTCCCTGAAATTAAGAGCTCACCAAAAAGTTCAGAGAGCACAACAGATTAACAAAGGAGACAGAAGAAGAAAACCACAGCAACTTCTGTGGGCCCATGGAAGAACACAGACACAGAGATGGCTCTTGAGTCCATTTAATGTTGTCAAAAGCCAATAAAAATTACACCATGGCTTCATAATCAATCTAAGACAGTACTGGCAGAAAAAAAAAGAGCCACTACCCTTAGTATCATTGCTACCTTCACCACAATTCAATCAAACCCACAATGTAGCTTCTTCTAGCAGCACTGGCTTCTGCCATTAAGGCACTGACCACAAAGCCAGGTCCCAGCTAAGGAGCATCACAACACCTGTGACTGCTCCACCCTCTCCCCACCAGCACTCAACTTCCTCCTCTGGACTAAGCCTATGCCCACACGGCCGGGCAAGCGAGCCGGGTCAGGAAGTTGTTGTAATCAGAGTACCTCAGGGAACAAAAAAAAGAAGAAATAGAAGTACATCTTTTTAACCAGATTAGTTCTTTTTACTCACTTCCTGACTGTGGAAGTCCCTTTGATGAGAGATGAGAAGGAGAAGCCAAAATGCAGACTGTCTTGAAATGCTAGGGAGTACACCAGGAACACAAGAGAGCCACATTGTAAACTTGATCTTTTTGCAATCCCCTTACTAACACCACCACAACTTAATCTGTGAATCACTTTTTAAAGAGCTGAATGCTATTTTTAACAAAGCAATACATTACACTGTAACCATTTCAAAGCAAACACTGCAGAGTAATTTTTACAGTTCTCATATGTACGGCCATGCTGTTCACAGCCCCAGAGTGCTTTTGGGAAAAAGCAGTTATTTAAAAAAATCAAATAAGCACAACAAAACTAACCCAGCATGATTTTCCACCTCTGCCTAAAACAGAAGGAAGTAGTGGAAGACTCTGTCACTCCCTGAGTTCTGGGGTTCATCAGCTGGGGCTGGCTCCCCTCAGGACACTCACTGGCAGCATTCTTACAACACTGGAGTCAATTTGTGCTTACTGTAACTGTATTTGTAGTCTTTTCAAGTTTAAACTACAAAGTTATTAATCATGTAATTGTTACCATCTAACCCACATGAACAGGGTAATCCTACTTAAAACCTAGGCAGAGGCATCATTTGCAGAACCAACCTTATAGGCCCATAAACCTTCACACAATCTGGAGCCAGGCTGGTCCGACAGGCAGTCAGGATTTGGCCGATACCACAGAGATTTGGTTAAATAAAGCCACAGTACCTTTTCCGCATTTAAAGGAGTAACAAAATGTTGCCTGTACCATCGACAAGACATCTCTCTGGAAACCGAAAGCACACCTGCCCTTCTGAAAGTTTTAGCTGAAAAACAACGTGGTTGTGAGACTAGAGCTCGACAGTGAGAGACAAGCAATGCTTACCTAAGCAAATTACTTCTTAATTGTCACTAGATTTTTTTTCTCTGTTTTAAAGAAGAGCTGTTATTTGAATCTTTTTTCCCCCTCTTAGGCACACGATGGATGGATACACACACAGCTGTGAAATGTGGTAGGAATAAAGGAGTAACAAAATGTTGCCTGTACCATCGACAAGACATCTCTCTGGAAACCGAAAGCACACCTGCCCTTCTGAAAGTTTTAGCTGAAAAACAACGTGGTTGTGAGACTAGAGCTCGACAGTGAGAGACAAGCAATGCTTACCTAAGCAAATTACTTCTTAATTGTCACTAGATTTTTTTTCTCTGTTTTAAAGAAGAGCTGTTATTTGAATCTTTTTTCCCCCTCTTAGGCACACGATGGATGGATACACACACGCACACAGCTGTGAAATGTGGTAGGATATGCCGTATTCACAGCACTATCAAACCAAGCACGGGTACAGCACAGCTCCGAGAGAGTGACAGCAGGAGCAAAGTACACACGACACTGCAGGAACTTATCCAGAGGAGAGCCAGCAAGTCCATTTCCTTCACTGCCGTCCCTGCTTCAGATGGTATCAGCAGGTTTTCAAGTACTTTTATCTACAGACAAGAATGTTGTACCAGCTTGCGGGTCGGGAGAGAGTGGAAGAGGGCTTAAAAAAATAAAACAAACAACCAGAGAACAAAAAAAAAAAAGAAAAGAAAATGACAATCAGCCCAAAACAAAACATAACGTAGATGAAACTGAATGAAACTGGATGAAATTGAATGAAACTGTGTGAAACTGACGCACGCAGGCGGCAGATTTAGGACAGTAGCTTGCTAGTCTGGGCTCTTGGGAAGTGACTTCACTTTTCCCGCGGAGGAGGCAGGGAGATGAACGCTTCCACAGCGCTCTCGCATTCCTGACCACGAAAACAACTTTATTTTTTAAATCCTGCGCTGCGCTCGAGCTCCTCTCCTCCCGGAGCGCCGCTGCCCAGGGAACTCCACGCACACAGACAAACACCGAATAAGACGAACCAGCGGAACCATGGCCCCGCAGCCCCGCCGCCCCGGGGCCCCGCGGCCAGCGGAGGAGCCGCCTCAGGTCAGCGGGCACTATCGCCCGTCACACGGCTGGCCCGGCGGCTCCCTCCCCTCCCGTCCTCCTGCGGGAGCGCCGACCTCCCCGCCCGCGCCCCTCATGACACCCGCTCCGCTCCGCTCGCCCCGGCGGGGCAGGCCCGGGACAGCGTCCCGATCGCTCACCGGTGCAGCCCGGGCCGTCCTCCCCGCGCTGCCGCTGCCTCCAGCCCGGCGGGGCCGCGCAGCCGCCTCAGGGCCGGGACAGCGTCGCCCACATTCCGGCGGCGAGAGGGCGGGCGGGTGCGCGCGCACGGCTGACACGGCGTGAGGGCGGGAGGGAAGGAGGGACGGCGGCCGCTCTCGGCAGCCGCGGCACCGCCGGGAGCCCCGGGCCGCTCCGCGCTGCCGGCCGAGTGCGCGGGGCGGGCGGCTCCGCGCCCGGCCCGGCCCGGCTTCCCGTCGCTGTGGAATTCTTGTGCGGCCCCTCTGGGACACAGAATTATAGAATGGTTTGGGTTGGAAGGGGGCTTTAGACCATCTCATTCCTCCATCGTGCCACGGGCAGGGGCACCTTCCACTAGAGCATGTTCCTTCAAGCTCTGTCCAGCTTGGCCTTGGACACTTCGGGGATGGGGCAGCCACAGCTTCTCTGAGCACCCTCTGGCAGGGCCTCACCACTCTCACAGGGAGACATTTGTTCCTAATATCTAATCTAACCCTGCTCTCTAGTGGTAAGCAATTCTTCTGGGTCCTGTAGCTACATGCTGTTGTAAGTAAATTCTCCCTGTAAGTTCCCTTCAGGTACTGAAAGGCCACCATGAGGTCACCCCAAAGCCTTCTCTTTTCCAGGCTGAACAATCCCAGCTCTCTGAGCCTTTTATCACAGCAGAGCTTCTCCATCCCCCTGATCATCCTGGTGCCTTCTCTGGGCTCACTCCAACAGGTCCTTGTCCTTCCTGTGCTGGGAGCCCAGAGCTGGAGGCAGGTGAGGTTTCCCCTGAGCAGAGGGGCAGAATCCTCCCCTCTGCTGCTCCCCCACACTAGTTTTGATAAATGCTTCTCTCCCACCTGTCAGAAAGCATCCAGCAGGCACTGAAACGTGTCAAAATCCTCGCCCACAACTGAAGGACCATGGAAGCAACCTATAAATCATGGCACTCTTTGGAGAAAATTAATTAAGCTTGCCTTCAGATTTTATAACCTGGTCTTGCCAAGTGAGGTAGATTGTGTTTGCCTATAGACAGTGGTTTGGTGTGGTTAATCAAATATTTAAAAAGTAAATATCTATGTTTAATTAAACATCACCATTGTTTATGTTTAAATAAAATATGTTTAAATTACGACAGCTTGTTGTGTCGGGTTGTGTGTGAAACAAATTACATTTAAATTACCCACAGCATCTGTACAGCTTGTCTGTGTTCTCTCCATTTCAGATGCAGTTCAGCAAAATCTTAAGGAATGTCAGGTCACAGCCTTCAATAAAACAACTTCACCATAAAAGCCAGTGGGCTGTGTCCTGTTGCCTCTGGGACAGCTAGACTGCCCATGTGGGCATTGATTTTAGGCTGGTTTCTTGTCACTGGGGTCAAGAGGTTTGTTTGTTACATGCTGTTTTTTGAGCTGAACTGTCATAAAAAAAAACCTGTCTCAAAGCTGGCAAGGCAAGCAGGCAAAGGAGAGCATTTCACAGGAAGAAAAAAAAAGCCAGACTCTCTGACCAGCTTCCCATTTACGAATTCTTACTATTTGTCTATAAATGGTGTAAATTAAATTATATCCAGATTACTTTTATCCCAGCATGGGTTCAGGTAAACCACAAAAGCATAAGGAAGGCAGAAGAATTCAAGGAGGAGGAAGATTATTTTACTGAATATTGCAATAGAGAAATAATAAGAAGAGAGTATCCCTGACACTGTCCCCAGACACTGCACACTGGTGCACGAATGTGGGTAATAAACAGGAGGAACCAAAAATCATTATATTCATTACCAGAATTAGGAATATATAGTCATAACTGGTTATTGAAAATGAGAATTTGTTCAGGAAGCCTAGGCAGGAAAAAGGAGACATAAGGTACAGAATGAATGATAATATTTGGATCATGGCAAAAAGGAAAAGAACTGTTGTAACCAGATGATTTACAGGGGAAGAGAATAGTCCAAATCCAAAACACTCCCCCACACCAGCCACTATGAAGAGAATTAATTCTACCATCCAAACCCACCAACATACAAATGAATTATCAAGCTGAACTACAGAAACAATTTATTTAAAATGCTTACAAAAATCATCTGCAATTTTAGACAAAACATTTAGGAAAATGGTTAAGTAATTTGAAGGCTATTAGCAATTCCCTTCAAGAATTCAGAAAAAGATACTGAGGTTTCATGAGACCAGCAAAAAGCAAACAGTGCCTACCCTAAATCAAAAAAGGATGAGAATTCAGAGGCCAATCACCTTTATCACACAAAATTTTGTATCTTCCAAATTACTGGAAGAAATTATTAAGCAAATTATTTGTAAGGCCTTGGATGATAAGATTAACAACAATCAACAATAACATCTCAAAACCAAATTATGGAATCTTGACTGCAGCAAGGCTTCTGACAACATATCAGCTAATACTCTCCTAAGCAGGATGAGCACTGGCTATACAAAACTTGGTTGAAATGCTTAGAAAATGGCACTCCAAAGTAGTATCAAGTTAATTTTGCAGTTAGCCCTCCAGATGCTTACATCTTGAGTCCTGAACTGCTTCTGTGAGGGAACAGGTATGGAATATTTTTCTTGTATTTGTGGAGGATATCCTGTCCAGGTGAGTGCTGTAAGCACTTTGAAAGATCTAACTGGAATTGAACAAATCATGATGAGTGGGAACAAAGATCTGAACTAAAGAGGATGTAATTCAATAAGGTGATAAAATACTACACACAGCTGGGAATAATAATTGGCAGCAAAAAAGCGAGTTTGCGACACAGCAAAGCAGCTCCTTTCTAGAAAATCCTGGTTCGTGGTAGTTCACAAAGAGAAAATGAGGCAACAGTGATTTGTGACCTAGCCTGTATCACACAGACAACCTGCCACCACCTACAACTTGGGCTGCCCTGCAGTGCCAAACACCTCCTCCATACTGGCATCAACAGTGGTGGGGTGAGTTTTGTTTTCCAGGCAAAAGGGCCAGCGTTCATGTCCAGGGGCCTTGACAGAGCCCAGCACGGGGGACAAAAACAGAAGAAATGCTACATATTGAATTGTCAGAGCTTATCCTCCCCTCCCCTCCCCTCATACACACACCCACGCTGGGACAAAAGAAAAACCAAATGCCAGGGAAAGAAAGAAAGAAAACACCCACAATGTTGGCCGCAATGTGGTGGGGAGAACAAAAATGGTGGTGTCTCCTGTCTCAGAGAATGGAAAAAATCCCAAAGGGTTCATGCAGCAGCTTGGGTAAAACAGATGAGAATCTGGTAAATATCTTGCATGGGTCTCCTCTTCACAGCAGATGAAGCTGGTGGATTTCATGTCCTTTCTCTTGTTCCCTCAGCTTTTCTGAGGTCTGGGGCTGGGATGGAGTGGCCTCTTGCCTTCCCCCTGGTTCCTGGCCAATTCATCTCCCATTGATTGTCCTCTCTGATCTAAAACCAGAACTCAACCAATTAAACCATCCAATTAAAGAAATAAACCACTGAAGGATTGCTGCTGCTGTTTCCAAGACCAGGGAAAGGGAAGAAAACCAACTTTTTGCCTAAGATAACAAGACCCAAGCTAGCTAAGCAAAAAAAGGAAACCAGAATGTACAGCCTGACAGATGCCTGGGCAGTAAGGCTTTGAATAAAGCCCTCAAAAACCCCCAAGGCTCCCCCCTCCCCTGGACCCACCTTAAAGCTACAGAAACCATTTCTGGGTCTAGAACAGATAATCAGGGAATAGAAAACCACCCCAACACAGCCCTGCAGAGGGACCCAAACAGGCTGGATTGATGGGCCAACACCAGTGGTGTGAGGGTCAGCAAGGCCAAGTCTCAGATCCCTATTGTGCACAATAACCCCTGCAGCTCCAGGCTGGGGCAGAGTGACTCAAAGTCCCCGCTGGGAAAGGCCCTGGGGGTCCTGGTGCCAATGGCTGGGCAGGAGCCCAGGTGTGCCCAGGTGGGCAAGGAAAAGCAAGGCAACACAATGGAGAGGCAAGGTGAGAAAACACAAGAGGGGCAAGGCAAAGGAAGGGCAAGATGGACGTATGGAAAGGCAAGGAGGGGTAAGTCAGAGGGGCAAGGTAAACAAAGGCAAGGCCAGGCAAGGGAGTGGCATAGGAAGGGTGAATCAATAAAGGCAGGAGAAGGGAAGAGGGAGGGGAAAGAATGGGGCAAGGGAGGAGCAAAGCATGGCAAGGAAAGTAAGAGGTAAAAGAAGGTCAAGGCAAAGGAGAGGAAGGGAAGGAAAGGCAAGAGAGGGATAGATAAGGCAAGGCAAGGGAGGGGCAGGCAAAGCATGGCAATGAAAGAAAGTGATAGGAAAGGGTAGGCAACACAAGGTAGGAGAGGTGAGGCAAGGAATGGGAAAGGTAGGCAAGTCAAAGCTTGTTGAAACAAGACAACATAAAATGTGTTTCTTTTTCAGGCTGGCCATTTCCAATCAGAGGTCTCTGTGCAGAGATGCTTGGGCAAGGGTGCTCAGTTAGGGATGGTTCTCATTCATGCCTTGGGGAGCTTTCAGACCAAACCAGCTCTCAGGGGCTGAATTGCAACACAATTCTGTAAACTCTGCTAATAAATATATATTAAGTGCCCTTGCACAGAGGGTTCATGTGCACAAACACATGTGAATGGTAACAGATGATACTGTAAGCCAAACCAGGTGGTAATGAAAAGATGAGCATATTAGTAGTCGTAAGACTGCATATGAGGAAACGAGTGATAACATGGCAAAACAAACAAAAACATCGCAAAATGTAGCTTCTTTCAATGCAACGGATTAATAAGATAAAAGAAAAAAATATCAGTGACATTCACATAAATGTGTCAATTTACACCAACAAAACTCAGGAAAATGTGACTGATCTCAGACGTAGAGTCGCTTTATCTTCCAGACAGAATCTTTCCACCAATCATTCCAACGCTGAATTGCCAGCAGCTGAGCTGCATTTTCTTCCTTGATCTGGGCAAACAGCTGTTCAACCTTACTTTTGTATTTCTGTTTTAAAAAAACAACAAAATTAGTAGTGATGAAATATAATTTTATTTGCCTAAATCCAGGTCCTGACCCATTGTGTCAGAAGACTTCATAGAGGCCACTTATTTTTTGCCTTTGATAGCAGAACTATATGAATAATTAACTATTAGCTGTGTTCCTTCTGTGTTCTTTTTAAAGACTTTTGAAATTCAATTATCAATAATGTTTAAATTTTGCTAAAATGCAAGACCTTCATCTCAGTTCCATTAGTTCCTAAGAGTAGAGTTGCCTTCTCTCCAGACAACACGGGATGCACTCAGGCTCTTACTGGAGCTTCTTAACTCAAAGGTATGAACTGAGCTATTACAAAACTGCAAAAAAAGTTATTTCCTCTAGACAGAAACTTGTAGACTACCACAAAAACCTCAAGGCACTTTAATATTCTTAAAGAGCCCATGCTCCAAAACATAAAGTACTGTATTTTTAATGCAACACACGTGCAGGAAAATACTTCTGTGGTGTGTGTGCATTCTACATCCAGTCCTTTTATCCAAACAACCACATTCCCTTCAAATCTGTGCTGTAATCAGGTTCCTGGGCACCAGAGCTAGATACATAAAATACACATGCAAATTGATTGTTTTGATGGCATTTGCCATCATTGACAGCATATTTTACATTCCCCTATTAAAAGCAGATATTTAAAAAAAGTTAATTTAGTTCAGTGGGAGTACAATTACTTCCAGGTTAGATGCTAAAGACATCTCCAAGTGATTTAACATAAAAATATTCTCCTAACTGCGGAGTACTGCTGTTTTGAGAACCACTGTCTGTGCCAGTCAGAGGCAGAATTGTCTGCATTCTTTTAACAGACTCAGTGAAGAAAGAGTGATTATATGGATGGTGGAAACAGTAATCTGTGATAGCTGTGGATATAAGATAGGTATGAAATATTTTACAGCTCTTCATCTTTTATGAGAAAATCAGCTTTTGTGATCTAAGGCTGGAGATAAAGGCTTCAGAAAGAAAGGTGAGTGAAAACAGGCAGAACTGGAATGGCACTGGGACACAGCTGCTTTTGGAACTATGATGGTGCAAAATGCAGTGTCCTGTTTCTGACACCATCCATGCTTCTCTGCTGAAACAATTCCCTTTTCTCATGAATGAGAAGACTCCACGAGGAACCAACCCTGCAGCTTTTGTGATCTAAGGCTGGAGATAAAGGCTTCAGAAAGAAAGGTGAGTGAAAACAGGCAGAACTGGAATGGCACTGGGACACAGCTGCTTTTGGAACTATGATGGTGCAAAATGCAGTGTCCTGTTTCTGACACCATCCATGCTTCTCTGCTGAAACAATTAAACAATTCCCCTTTGTCATGTCTCTGAATGAGAAGACTCCATGAGGAACCAACCCTGTCTGCTTCTGACAGCATCACAAGGAAATGGACAAGAGAAAGGATTCCTACACACAAATAATATGGCCTTAAGATCTGCAAACACTGTGTATGTTAAAAAACTTACAGACACAACAAAGATTCTGTAATTGTCTTCTTAAAAAACCAAACCCACAACAGCAGCAGCCCACTCAAGAGTCTTTCCCCACAAACCCACCTTATATGCAGCTTGTCTTGCATCCACCACTGCCAGATGGGCCAGGGTAGTCGTAGCTGTTGAAACTGATGCAGTTCCTCTGCAAAGAATATAGTCTGGAGTGTCAGGAACAGTAGTCTCAGGTATTCCTGGCCAAGACCTATAAACACAAACACATGAGAAAAGAAGTTAGAAAAGAGAACAGATCACACTAATTCACATTGCTTGGACTAAGGTTCCAAAGATCAATGTTATCTTTTTTCCCACAAAAGGTTTACCCTAAAAACATCTTTGTTTAGTACAACTACCTGTTCTTTTAAAGCATCAGGATCTCTCCACAGTATAGAATTCATTTCTTCTGAATGACAATACACAGACTATTCAGAGATCTGAATGTAATGAATTGATAACTAGTGGCAAACAAGTGGCATAGCAATAGCAATGACATGGTATTGTTTTACAATACTGTATGTAATTCACTTTTATTTGGATCCATTGCAATTCTTTCTTTAAAATCATTACCCACTCAAACTACCCCATTACTAGTTCAATGACATTACTAATGATGAGCTGCAGTTTCAACAAGTGCAGGAAAAAACTATCAGGACAGGGCTTGTTATCAATTCAGAGCAGAGGAATTAGACAGAACAATGTTCAATATCTCCAAATACTACCTCCTTCCTCGTTTGACTAACTGTTGAACTTTGGAGGCTCCCAGAGGAAGTTCAGTTTGTTTACAAGACATTAAAGTTGGCATCTTCTCTGTAGGTATTTCAGTTCCTGGGAGGTAACAGAAGATACGCTCAGCAGAAACAAAACAATGTCAGGAATACAACTGTTTTGGAATAATTGTGCTCAATGCTCTTCACACTCAAAAAATAACTTTGCATGTTTTATTATGCAAATATTTTAATTTAAATCAAATAATCTTAATATCAAAGCCTCCTCCTCCTAGGGACAGATTGCTGCAATCTTTGACAAGGGAGCAGAGGCCTGAATAAGCAATCTCTTCTTTTCTTACCTGCTACTTTTACATCATCAACAGTGATGGTTTCATCTAGTTCCAACAGGAGCTTTTCAGTGAGGGCAGCCAGTGCAGAAAAAAAGCCCTGAGCACACTCAGCAGCACAATCCTGTTGTAACATTGGAGACAAGTGAGAGGAATTCCTTTGATAATTGGATCTCCTCTACTTTTAACCTGGCTCTGAAAGACTACACAAATATCAAACCCTGGCATTCTGCAACAGCTGCAGATAACACATAAGGCTCAAAGTTGCACATAAAAGGGTCTTGAAGTGTCTCCGCAGTATTCTTAACATTGCCTGACTATCTAAAGACCAAAAAACTGTAGAGTTTTGAGTATAGGTATCTAGTAGTTACACATTTGGGTTAAACATGATAAGAACAGCTTCCAGCCAAAGAGAAGATCATTCTGGAATTCAGGTACATTGGGTGGAAGTGCTTAGCCCAGGTGTTACTCTCAAATACCTATTTGTGTTTCTGTGTCTGCATGCAGAGCTAGGAGTGGAAGGAGATACCATGGAATTAAAAATACCAGTACTCTGCAGACAGTGTAGAATTTGGAGTAAGTGGCCTGAGAGAACTAAACAACAGGCTTTAATGCTGGGGAACCAACCTTCAATTAACCCAGGGGGCAAAGGGGGGAAAGTATTTTGATTCCTGAATCTCTCCTGTAAATTCAGCTTATTTCAGTTCTTAATCTTATGTAGAAAAGTGTCATTATTTGCACTAATGAAATGCACAAAGAAGAAACCCTTCCAGGCATCTGTTGTCTGGAAGAAAGAGAACTAACCAGAGGATGTCACCACCACAGCCAATACTCCTACCCACCATTAAGCTCACAGCCAGTGGCTTCTATGAATGATATAAAATATCAGTAAGTTCCACAATGTATCTAAGCAGCTGTGTGTGTACAGATATGTTTATGTCTATATTAATCTAATGCTGAAAATACATCACTTTAAATATAGCAATATATGAACAGGATTGCTTAAATCTGAAAAAAATTTCATGTTTCTTTTGGATGGGGAGGAAAAAATGTATCCAAAATACACTCTTCTTTCCAAATACAACATTTAAGTTCACATTAAGCAAGGGTTTTACAATTACCTGTAGCATCTTTGTGTTGAGGTGAACACCATCAGTTTGATCTTTTTGCCTTTTTATTTCCTCTTGGCACAAAGCCTCCAGCTGAAGGGAGTTATTTGGGTGTCCTAGGGAGTAATGTAATTTTCTCCAGTGCGTAGTCTTTAAGCAAGTATGTAAGAAAGAAATGCCTTCAGTAAAGAATATACTGTGAGTCATAAAAAGGAAGAAGTAAACCACAAACATTTTCTATAAAGGTATTCAGAAAGACAAGAAAAATGGAGCTACTTCTTGGCTGTCTGGATATAAGCTTTGCAGTGCAATCTGCACCAAATTGTCTCTCTGCTGGTCTCTGGTCTCACTTTGGGATTTATTTTCAACAAAAAATCATCTCTTCCACCACGAGGTAAGTAAGGTATTTTTTATATCTCTGTATTTGTAATTTTTACGTCTCTATATTTGTAATTTTTACCTGATTTTTAATACTCAGACACAATTTCTAGACACTTTAGCATTTTCTGTGTGATCTCCATTATGATACTGTTCTCAGTTCTGATATTACTTGACAAAATATGCCTCTTTTACAAATGATGGTAAATACAGTATTTCATTATCCCTACATCACAGTTCTTACAAAGGAGTGCACCCATACAGTAGGAGTTGTCTGGCCATACTCCAGGGTCACAGCCCTCACAGAGCTGACAATCCAAGTGTAAGATGACAGGCAGGGCTGAGAAGATTAGAAAGGGGCAGCCCAGTGCTGGAAGCTGGGAGAGAAGGGACAGAGTTCCACAAAATCCAAAGCTTCCAGGAGAACTAAGCAGACAAACTGCAAACACAGAAAACTTTACCTGTGGTCAGCTCAGCAGAAAGTGATGACGCAAACAGTGAGAATGAGAAAAATAAAATGTTATCAATCTGATGCACTTACCATGGGTTACACTACAAAGTATTCCAGAATGTCCATGATACATACCTTCACATCCTCCCAATCTTTCAGCTGTCTGTTGAAGAGATGCTGAATATGACCAGTAAAAGAGCTGAGTTTCTGCTCATGTTCTTTTAAAAGACTTTCCACGACCAGTTGGGAAACAGAAGAGAGCTCCTCCTCAAAGCACTTCAGCTGATCCCGAAATTCTTTTTGGAAAAGACAGGGTATGCATGTGACACAAACAGCCTGGAATTTTCTCACACAGAGATTGTGTCCCCGGCATTCCTTTTTCTAGGTGCTTGAGAAACATACACTTGCTCAAAGATGTGACTTTGTACAGGTCTTTTAATTTAGTCAAGTGCCCTTCTGCTACACTTTTTGTAGCTGATAATACATACAAAAAGAATATTACCTCAATTTCCAGTAAAGTCAACTGGAGTTTTTCCACTGTGTGATGGATTACGATGACAACAACATAATTCTTGGTCAATGCAATTTTCAGCTTATATACTGAAAAATCACATACTCAAGAAAATGTTTTGTAGCTGATAATACATACAAAAAGAATATTAGCTCAATTTCCAGTAAAGTCAACTGGAGTTTTTCCACTGAGTGTGATGGATTATGATGACAACAACATAATTCTTGGTCACTGCAATTTTCAGCTTACATACTGAAAAATCACATACTCAAGAAAATACAAGTCTTAACTGAATGAATTTACCTCTAAGACAGAAATTGTAGTAATCATCTGTCTGCCTTTGGTATGACAGTAGTTTCACTTTGAGCATTTCTGCCCAATGTTCAAATGTGTCTGGCAGATCTTCAAGCATTCCCAAGTAAGGATTCTTCTTTTCTCCATAGAACTCCTGCAGAAGGGAAAGATAAACCAGAAAAAATGTTGATAACACATTTAAACACATCACATCTAGGTAAATAACAGTAGGAGAAGAAAAGAAACTTTCTGGGCAGTCTACCAAATATTGAAAGAAGCAAATAATTTCTCTGACACAGGAGTACACCAATGAAAGCAGAACCAACTAAAGAACATGACATTTCCTTACCTCACCAAGGGAGAGCAAGGTGTTGTTACCATTCCAGAGAATATCCATAATAATCCCTTTAAAAGTACTAAAAACCAAAAAAAAAAAATTTAAAAAATTAAAAATATGATCCCACTGTTAAATAATCACACTGGCAATATTCATTGTTTTTCAAGTATTTTGTTCGGGTTGATTTTAGTACATTTTTCAGAGCATACACAAACCAATGTTCAGAATGCTTAAGAACCTTCCCCCACATCAGCACAGATTCTCTTCAGATGCAGCCAGTACAAGGGGCTATTGTAATTGCTCACTAGAGAGCACTGCCATGTCACTGTCACAAAAAAGCAATCTTAGCCAAATTCCTGTGCCCAAAGAGTTTACCATGCATTTCAGATAAAGCAAAAATATTTCAAGGGGGGTCTAGCTGTTTACTGGAATTATTTTTAAACACTATGGAATAAAGTTCCCAAACACTTAAACATCTTAAGCATTAATTTGAATAGTTTTGCATGGCATGTACAAAATATCTCATTTCTACAGATTACAGCTGCACATATGAAGAAACAATATATAATTTTCTTAGAGAAGGGGAATGGAACCTTGTTTATTCCCATTAATGGAATACTGAGTACAAGAAAAAAGATATAAAATGTATTTGTCTTCTTAGGTGTGAAAATAATTGAAAGAGAGGCTATTTGACATTCCCCACCCACTTATAAAAGTACAAAACTGGCTCCAGTAAGACTCCCACTTCAGACATTAGACAGAATGAACCAGATGATTTACATCTTCACTATTATTACACTGCAAAAAGGAACCGTTCTGGAAGTACTTTGACCTATAAATATCAAGGCTAAATACCTCAAAATTCAATGGTGAACTCTATAGGTCACAATGATAGATAGATAGATAGATAGATAGATAGATAGATAGATAGATAGATAGATAGACAGACAGATAGACAGACAGACAGATAAGATAGATAAGATAGATGCATACATACATACATACATAGAGGGATTTTATAAATTAACTTCTTGTTCTGGAAATATATTACTTACTCAGACTTTGTAGCCTTCTTTCCAAATAGCTGGGATCTGTCATCCTTGGTAAGAGATTTTCTGCCTTTTTCACTGGAAAGGGAAAACATTAATTTGAAACTATCCACAAGTGCTTTCCTTCTCTGGCTGATGATTTGAGATAGTCAGTCATATGACAGACATTAAACTGAAGAAAAATTAGAAAAAACCTAACTCTAGAACTAGTATTCTATGTGTCCTGGTTCTGGCCAGGACGGGGTTAATTTCTGCAGCAGCCAGGAGGGGGTATGGCCAGGACCTGGAGGTTATTCTCTACCTCTCATCATTGTGGGGGTGGCTGGAAGGGTCCCTGCTGTAGGGGAATGTGGTGGCAGTCTCAGGGGTTTCCTCATGGTGAGCATTCACATGTGAATCACTTGCCTCTTTTGTACACTTTGCTGTTAACATTGCTGCTGTTACTATTAGTTTTTTTATCTCATTGCTATTTCTAATAAATGTGTTCTTATCTCAACTATATCTTCACCTTTTGTGCCTCCAATTTTCCTCTGCAGCTGCTGCAGGGAAAGGGGAGTGAGCAAGCAGTACAGGGTTTGGAGTGTTTTGCTAGCAGCACAAAATTGGGAATACAATTCCCAAACCATGACAATACATAGTATTCTGATGGAAAAAGGTTCTCAGAATTCTCTTCTAAACTCTCAGTTGATCAAAATTTTTTTGTTGTTTTCACTATCACAGTAGCTCATTTCATCAGTCTGTGAACTAAGCTGAAGACAAACTATGTAGACACACCTGAAAATTAAGCCACACTGATTTAAGGGTTAGTCTATATTTCAACAACTTCAAAATACAAAACAGCAGCAAATGAAGGAGAAAAATAATAATATTTTTCCAGTCAAAATCTGGGGGAAAAAAACGCCACAAATCTGATCATGTGGACATAAACAGGTAAGATATTCCAAGTGATAAGCAGTAAATGGAAAGAAGGCTGTACAAATGAGAGGTAAGAATCTTTCAATTAATAGACAAAGTTTAGCTAAATTCTTGCATAGGAATATTTGAAGTGGAATTCCTCCTTTTAGGGGTCTCACCTTTTTTTTCGTTTGGTCTCATCCCGAGATGACCTCTTGCTAGTAGACTTCTGAGAATTTGTATCAGATACCCTCTTCTTTACTGGGGGAAGAAGTGCTTATAGTTAACAAGGAAAGAAGAATATTGCACAAATGCCAACTGAAGTGCTTTTTATATGTGTATATATATTTTGTATTCTTATTTCTATTACGTTTCCTTACAACATCAATGGGACAACTACAGCAGCAATCATTTCTGTCAAACAGGGCTGAAGTAACCCAGAAGTAGCAACAGTGGTAAAGGTTTTGTGCTGGGGCATGAGTCCCAGGAATGTCACAGAAAAGACTTGGTAGATGGAGGAGATTTAAAGCAAATTGGAGGCAGGTGAAGAAGGAGAATGAATGGGCTACATTCATAGCATTGGTGGTCATGGAGACTTGCAGATGTGGAAGAGATTGAGGATAGCTTTGGAAATGGCTGCAGAAGAGAGATGAGGAAATGGGAACACTAGGTAGGGAGCATCTGGGATTACCTTTGTGCTCACCTTTGAGTAGATGATGTCACAGTGTGAGAAGGATCCCTGATTCCCTGTATACTTCATGATTTCTGCTCTGCTTCTTTTCTCAACCCCATTTCCCTTTTGCTATCACAAACACAGGTACTCTTTATAACATTATTATCTTATTCTGCAGTTTTCATTGCTTTAGGAGCCCTAAATCATCTTTATCTAAGTAAAGATGTCCAGGGAAAGAGCTGAGAAGCACAACTATCTCAGAGTTCCTAGCATAGAAGTCACTGGCTTGGACCATGTTAGATCTGTGCAGTAAAATGCCAAGAACTAAAATTTAGATGAAAAGAAAATATTAAAAGAAATACAGGCACACCTGGATTCTTTTTCCCCCGATTTAGGTCTCGATATTTTTTTGATGGGTCAAATCTGAAAAGAAAAAAAAATAAAGAGCTAAGTACTACTGCATATCCTGTCATTTTATGTTCTATACCATATTATATAGCAAACTAGGCAAGTTCTCTATCCCTATCATGTGCTAATTGAGTTAAATTTCTGAGATTATATTTAACAGATAGGGTTACTTTTAGAACTCACAGTGTATACAGAAGTGATTTCATAGGACTGATTGTTTAACTGGAATTTTGGAATTTCTACAAGCAAAACTGCATTAAAATACTATTTGCAAATCAAACATTTCTCACACTCTTCATTTTACACTTTGTGTATTCAGTCACCTAGGTAGCAGGTGATCACCTTTAACTAAAATAAGGCTCTAGAAGACAAAAATTAAATACCTGAAATTTATCATTGTATACTAGATGTCACTCACAAAGGGGTATTTTTAGCTATGAGAAATCTTTGGTTTAAAAAGAAAGTCTCAGCTAGACTAATTTTTAATCTTAGACTCATTAGAAAATATCTAGTAGTATTACCTATGACCAGTCTATTCACTAGTTCTGGGCAAAGAAAATATAAATAAAGACATGATAGAAAAATACCTTTAAACAAACAAGTACTTACCCAGCCAAATTTCCAATAACTTTTATTGCCAAATCATCAAAAATTGATGCATCCAATCCACTTGGATTTAACAAAGGGAATTTGTCAGGATCCAGTCCCATCACCATCCTTTTGCTCTCCTCTCTGAGACTCTCTTTTGGAGCAGCAGGAGCAATGACATCTTGTGACCTCTGATCCACATAGGGAGTGGCTAAGTGCTCTTGCAACGTCCCATCTGTGTCAGGAGGGGTGAAGGTCTCCTGAAATGGGAAGAAAAATGAAGCCCTCTAGACCATAGCAGGCAGTTAGTGAAAGCATTCCATGTAATGGCTGACTACTAGAGCAGATTTTTTAAACGGACAGTATCTTGCTTCACAGGCTGAAATAGATTTTTTGTTATTCTAACAGCAATGTTGTTTCAGCTATTCAGTTCTAAAACACATCAAAGCAGTTAAAAATAGGTTCTCATAATCATCATTAACAGTATTTAAGGGTATACTCTTAAAACAATGATCCACTGAGATTACAAAATAAAGACAGACTTTCCAGAAAAGGGAGGAAAGAAAACACAACCTGTATGATAAAAACAAAATTCTTTTAGGACACATTTGGGCTTTTTAAAAAAATATTTTAGAGAAACCTGTGAAGTATATACCTCTGAACAGTGCTACACTTTGAAAACAAACTCTTGTGAAGAACTGAGCAACTTATTGCAATGCCATGTATCTCTTCAGCATTTTGGAAACTTGCTGATTTACTCAGCCTCTTAAAAAGGCTATCCTAATGTTACAGAGTCTTTGACACCTCGGCATAATGCAGATTAATTTTTCATTTGAGAATTCAAAGCACAAATTCTGAAAGGCCATTAAAACATGTATGTATGAAAATTCTCTCAATATTAAATAAAATACAGAGAATGTGAATGTTATCTTACAGCAGCACGTGGGATCTTTGCCTTTACTACAAAGCAGTCAAGATACTTGCTCCTCTTTTTCAGCTCTTCCAATACCTCTCTGGCAAAAGCATACAACTCTTCAGAAGTTAAAGCCTGAAAGATATGATAATACAGATGGTATTTACCAAACTGACTGTTCTAACCTTTTCACACATGCTGACTCTTGCAAACAATATTATTTGCCTTTGTTCTGTCACCAGTTTATGTACACATACATGGAAGCAATGAGATTGTATAAGAGGCTGAGGTTTTGGTTTGGCAAACAGGAAAACAGGTCCTGACTGTCCAAAAAGGACTGCTGGGGTTTTAAACCCAGCTGGAAATTAAGCATCACACAGTTCAACCATCCTTCTCTCACCCCTTGCCCTAGTAGAATGGGGAGGAGAATCAAAGGAAAACTTGTATGTTAAGAACAGTTTAATCATTGAAAATAAAATGAAATACAGTGATAATGGTAAATAATAATAATAATAATAATAATAATAATAATAATAATAATAATAATAAAAAGTGAAAGACAAGTGATGCACAATACCATTGCTCACCACCTGCTGACCAATGCCAGACCCCCATTCCTGAACCCAGACTGGCCCCTCCAGATAACTCCCCCAGTTTATAGATTGGACATGACATTCCATAGGCTGAAATATAATTTTTGGCCAATTTAGGTCACCTGTCTCAGCTGTGCTCCCTCCCAGTTTTCTTTGTGAACCTCCTCAGTGGCAGAGTAGGAGACAAGGAAAAAAATCTTTGGCTTAGGATAAACAGGACTTGGCAAAAACTGAGTTATCAGCACCACTCTCATTCTGAATCCAAACCACAGCACTGTAACAGCTACTGAGAAGAAATTAACTCCACCCCAGCTGAATCCAGGACAAGGACCTTTCTGAGCAAAAATTCTGTGTTTCTGCCCAGCCCAAATATGAGGAAACATAAGTCTTCCTGAAAAATATTCATTTATGCCAAATCAATAACAATTAATAACAAGTCAAATTAAATACCATTTCCTGCTGATTAGAAGTTACTTCTTTATCTGCAGTAGAATGAACATAAGCATCTCTCTTCTGCTGGAGCTTTCCCAGGTAAGACTTTAATGTGACTGACTGCAAATTGGAATTCGCTACCTAAAGCAGAAGCAAACTTTAGAAAACTGGATAAGTAAAATCCCCATTCACAGGAATTTCCAAGGCTTCATTTTCAAACCATCAGAACCCACTGATAAAAACTGGTTAAAAATCCCTGGTACTCAGAGGAGAAGCTGAAAACAGTAATTCACAAAAGCAGCTGCACCACACAAAAATATTGGTGAATTCAGATGTACACACTCAATGTGCTGCAAGGCCATAGTGTTCCAGCACAGCTGCAGCAGTATTAAAAATAAACTTTTAAGTGGATAGTGACAGAAAACAGATTTTAAATTAACATTAAAAATTATGTAATATTTGTCTACTGTGAATTCAGCTAAAATCTCCTCCAAGGTATAAAAGAAAATTCTTATATTGAATTTAAGCAAAGTTCTGATGTTTCTCTTTGTACCTCTGATTTGATTTGCTGTCGTAGCTTTCTCAAATATTGATGGACCTTCTCCATAAAGGCTCGACCCAGAGACAGAGAAGCAAACTTTTTTCCAGACTGCTTGAAAAGTTCAGTAGCCTTTAAGAATGTTAGAAACAAAAGACAGGACAAGATAATTTTTCACTTTTTAAAACTTAAATGACAGAACTTGCCATTCTACTAATTTTTTCCATCATGTAACTGCCAAACAGGACAGACTTACAGTTCTAATCTGAAAGCAGGCTGACTGCAAATCACATCAAATATGTCAATAAAAAACATCATTTGAAATAATGTAATTCTGCATACCTTCTCCAAGCAGCTCGATTTTATTTTCTCCACATCTGCCTTGATTGAACTTTCAAAGGAGTCAATTTGCTTACTTTCATTCTGAAGACACTCATTGAAAAACTTTACCTCCTCAGATGCACAGTCACCACCCTCTGAAAATAATCTGAAAGCAAACATATAAACAAGTGGTTGTGAGTCATTTTACTCCAAGACCATTATAGCTAAACAGCCCTGAAACAACTCAAATGTGATAAAAACAGCATTATAATTGTGGTTTAACAAGATACATTTCTTTTTAAATAGGAAACTAGACAAATTACAAAATAAACTTTACTTTTACTGTTCTGCCTATGCAAAAAACACTGATTCCCAGAACTAAATCACCATTTATAAACAACAATTCCATGAAATCTATGTACCTGCAACTTTTGAGAAACGCCACATTTGCGTCCCTTAGTTTTCCTAAAGCTTCCTCCAAGTGCTGCTGGTAACTTCTCACAGTAACCCTGATTGATTCCAGATGGTTGTGGAGCTCTGATTCCAGATTATTGCTGGAAGAAGTTAACCTAACAGCAAATAATAAAAGACAGGGAAAACATGTCTGAAGAGGAACACACATGATGATTCAGCAACTGCTGGCTGTAAATACATGAAAAAAATTGAGGACTCCAAAGTTATTTATGACTCTCAAAGCAACTCCCTGAGCTGGGATGGTTTGGATGAACCCATGGAAGGTATCAGCAACAGCTGATACTATTGGGCACTTTTCTTCCAAAACAATTAGTCAACTGATTTTACTGTGCACGTTCAGTAAACTGGATAGAATCTAAACAGATGAAACATCTTTTCTACTTAAAGACTGCCAGCACTTTGAAAGGAGATGAGAAATTCCATGAGTTCAGTCCTGATTTTAATTTCTTCAGGAAAAGAGAATGAAATTCTTTATGTTTTCCAGTTTCATGAAGTAGTCTTCATTGAAGAGCAGTGACATATAAAATAGGTTCAGAATGCAAACCATGAACATCTCAGATAGCAATCAGGAGTATTTAACTAGGGAGATTCACAGCAACAGCAGTGGCACACTTACTGCTCAGTCACAGGCGCGTGGAGCAAGTCATACTCCAAGTTATGGACTCGGGAATGAAAGTTTGTGTTGAGGTTATTGAGCTGCTCTGAAAATCTGAGGAATTCATCTTTCTCCTTTTTCAGGCCTTCTGCCAGCACTGCACAGTGGCACTCAAGGTGCTCTTTGTGAAGTGACAGCTCCGCTGAGAAGAAAGGAAATGTACAATAGGGACATTATTTCCTCTTTACTGTGAGATATCACAATGCCCAGCTAACCTGTGATCAGCAGCAGCAGCAAAATAAACAAAGCCAGACCTCACAGTAGCTAAAACACACAAATTAAATACATTCACTTTGGTTTCTTTGATTTTTCTCCTGTGCAAGACATCTATCTTTAACAGCTCCTAATCCATTCGAACCACAAATGTCTCTTGTTTGCTCTAAGCATTCTTTTCCTTTTATTTTTGGTCATTGCTGACATCTCCATTATCTCTGTTCTCAGTCTTGTAACAAAACTAAAAGTTATATTTTTTAATGGAAAATACACTTTTCCTGGTTTTGTGAGGGAAATAAAAAAATCAGTTTTGGTCTTGCTTCTGGAATGACAGCTGCATAAATCAAGAGCCAGCCAATCACCTCAAGAAAGGTACCAGAAGAAGCACCTGTCCTCTCTGCAGAAAAAGGGAAATTGAAAAATTATTTGCCTCTTTTCCAAAAGAAGAATTTTTTAGCTTATGTGTTAAAGACCAACAAACCTGTCTAAAATATTTTTTCTCACCATAAAAACCTGACACTTCCCATGCAGAAAGAGTTTTCTTTAGAAGATGCTCTGTAGCTGCTCAGTGATATGTCACAGAGTTAAATCCTTCCTCCCATATTTTCAGAAGCTTGGCCCTGACATTTTGGCTCTCTCAACTAGCTACCTTTTTTTTCCTGCAACACTTTAAAAATATTTTTTGTACACCACAAACTCTTGTTAAATAATTTCAAGGTGGATGAAAATTCACTAACACTGACAATAGAATGTCCAACATCTTCTACAATCCAGTTGTTAATCAAGGCACTGCTGTCCATTTTTCCAAAAATAACACAGCACAAACCAAGAAGAGCTGTAGAAAAGAAATGTCATTAAAAAATATGTCAGTAGCATAATATCCTGGGAATTCAAAGACACTCAACTGCTTTCTATTGTCCTCTATTACTGGGTCAACTACTGCTGAAACAGATTTTGGACCACTTAGGACCATCTCTAAATGAAGACATGTGATCCTCACAATACAAAAAATGTCAATACCAGCTCGAACTTTGTAGATATTTGTCTGTATCTCCTCCTGCTTTTGTTGATGCAACTTAAGATGCAGCAGAAGTATTAAATTCAGCTCCTCTTTCTTGGCAGCTACAAAGACATAGGAGTTGGACAAGGATTCTGCAAACCATTCCTCCAAGTGCTCAAAAAAGCAGAGGCGAATCCTGTGATTAAAAAAGAAATATTACAGCCAGGAATAGTAAATATATTATTTCTAAAAATTCAACTTCTGGCTATAGGAAGGTACAGTTTCAGTACATTTGCACAATACTGACAGTTTTTGAGCTAGCTCCTTAGTACTGAGGAGCAGGCATTTTACCTTCATGGCTCTGAAGTAAAATTAGGCAAATTCCTTGTCTTTCTGTAATATGTTTTCTCACTAAATAATTTTCCATAAAATATGAATTTTCTGTAAAGGTACATGTTTTTGTGGTACTTTGACATCCGTGAATACAAAGCAATGTAAATATTTTCTGATATTTGTATCAATTTAAAAAGTGGAATAACGTAATTGTCCAATCATAATTTGATAATTAAAAATCTAACTATATAAATATCTAATGATATAATAGTAATTAGATAACTTTTGCCTCTCTACTCTAATGTTTCTTCTAAACAGTTGAAATTTGTCTATCACATAAAAAGAAAGAAAGAACAGAAATTGTTCTCAGCTCACCTTTTTTTCAGTTCAACAAATGTGGCTTCTGTGAGAAGTACATATTTCAGGTACATAGGAAGTGATCCTTCTTTTTCATATTTTGTAAAATCACTCTCTATCATGTCAGTCTCTCCTGTCTCTTCAACTCCAAGAACAGTGTAAGTGTTTCCACTAGCAGTGGAAAAAACCTCCGTGACAATTTCAGCACTTTCTCCCTCGCTGCTCTGAGACACTGACTGGGAAATTGTTGGAAATTATCACGTTGCTTTTTAAGGTATCAGCATAGAATCAACAGTGCACCAGCTAGTGTAAGAATCCTAAGGATATTTAGAATAATGTTCTCATTCTCAATTTGGACATTTACACAGTGCTGGCAATATTTATATATTTATATTTACATATACACACACACAAATATATATACAAATATATTTATATATTTATATGCCAGCAAGACATAGGAAGAGTTGACAATGTTTTAAAAGGTTTTTGTTATGGTAATACGTTGCTTTTTAAGGTATCAGCATAGAATCAACAGTGCACCAGCTAGTGTAAGAATCCTAAGGATATTTAGAATAATGTTCTCATTCTCAATTTGGACATTTACACAGTGCTGGCAATATTTATGTATTTATATTTACATATATATACACACACACATATATATATATTTTTACATGCATATGCCAGCAAGACATAGGCAGAGTTGACAATGATTTAAAAAGTTTTTCTTATGGTAATAAATTTATGGAAACAGAAAAATTAATACTTAGGTACAAATACTTGGCTTAAAACATTCACCACAAGCTGAGAACAGTGTGATAAAAGATTTAAAAAAAAGATGCAAAGGGTTTCTACAAGGGTAAAAGATCCAAAAGAATGGTTGTCAACTGTTTTATACACTCCATTTCCCCATAAAAGGATCTAGAGCCCTGTGTGCTTTGTAAGCAAACTAAGCAAAAAAGGACTTTCTACTAATTCTCAGCAAAAAGACTTCCTTTTCCTCCTTATTTTGGACAAGACTGCCTTCACCTTCAAACTTATTCTCTTGCTCACTTACCTGTGTAATGCTTAGTCCCTGTTCTGCATGCTCATTTTCTTCGCTTTTATGAGGAATACTCTCCTTTTCTTCTTCCTCTGTTTCTTCAATTTCCTGTGCCAAGATCACCTGTTTCTGTGTTAGGTTTGTTTCTCTAGCAGATTTCTGACAACTGTCCCTATCTTCTGTCACCAGTTGAGAGAGGTGATCATCCTGCTCTGCTCTGGGCTGGGATGTCCTTCCCTCGAGCCCTGGGGGCAATTTTGGATGCCACAATGTCAGAAAGACCTAAAGCTATTAGAGAAATCTCCAAAGGAGGGACACAGAGATAGTGAAGGGTCAGGAGGGGAAACCATACAAGGAGTGGCTGAGGGCATTTGGTTCAGCTGCAGAAGAGGAGACTGAGGTCACACCTCACTGGCAGCTGCAGCTCCTCTCGAGGGCAGTGGAGCTCTGATCTCTGCTCTCTGACCAGGGACAGGACCCAAGGGAATGCCTGGAGCTGTGCCAGGGGAGGATTAGACTGGATATCAGAAAAAGGTTCTTCCCCAGAGGGTGCTGGCACTGCCCAGGCTCCCCAGGGAATGGGCACAGCCCCAAGGCTGCCAGAGCTCCAGGAGGGTTTGGACAACGCTCCCAGGGATGCACAGGGTGGGATTGTTGGGGTGTCTGGGCAGGGACAGGAGCTGGACTTTCACAATCCCTATGGATTGTGAGCTGGTCCTTTCCAGCTCAGGATACTCTGTGATTTTCCTCTCCTTCCTCGATGCTCTCACCTTGCTGCTCCACCATATGTTCACCTTCTGAAGCCTCAACTACTTATTTACAGTTAAAGCAGAGTTCTTCTGGTTACAATCCAAAGAAATACAGATTGAAAACCAACCAAGCAGAAATACCTGTTTGGACTGTTGAGGTATTATCTTGATCTTGAACTGTGGAGTCTGTCATGCCTTGCAAGTTCTAAAAGCAAAACAACAACAAAAAACACCCACCACACCATTTTAAAATATGGATTTGCTTTCTTCTAAGAAACCCATATCCCTTCTCAAAATGTATCTATTTCAGTAAGAGACACAACAGTCTTGAATAGATCACTCACTATCTAAAGAACCTCTAACACTCAAGTCAATTACTTTAAGTCTGTTACCTTGTAGTTTTCTGTTCAAAAGCCAAGTGAATTTGCTAAAACTCTGTTTGTAATAAGGACAGAGTTAAAAGTGTGGGACTGAAAAATGTTTTGGTTTCCCTCTGCTATCTCTACCAAAAGCATTTTATTCAATTGATGAAACAGTACTTTATATAATCAGAATTTTAAAGGTAATATTAATTTTCTCTAAAGTAAAAAAATAATATACCAGTAAGGTTTTAAACCAAAAGAAATTTTTTTTTACCTGTTTGAAGATTTCCTTCACACTAAAATGCTGGCTGATGGATATACTGTAAGAAATCAACTCCCACAAAATAGCTTTTGGATAAGCCATTACTTCATTCATTACAATCTCCTTCAATGTCTCATTCCTGTCAAATTTAAGGTCACTGTTTAAGAGACTCAAGTATGTATAGAAATAAAATTGTGACTACAGTGCCTTTAAATCTAAATTCAACTTTTTTGATGAATGTCATAAAACCTTTAGGCTAAACGTTGCCATTGATCTGTTTATACTGAATACAATCACATCCTAGCTTGTTAGAGATTAGTTCATTACAAACAAATAAATGCACATAAATTAAGAAATATTTACAATAAAGCCTTTTACATCCTTCCTTTTGGATGGGGAGCCATTCAAACACTGCTTACATAAGAGAAGTCAAATTACTGTCTTCCATGTTAGTTCTGCACTGTGCTCAGCTGTGACTGAGCCTTTCTGGTTTATTTTCATTTTACCTGAAAAAAACAAACTAATTGCTCAAGCTGAGTGTAGATTAAAGAAAAATCAGCATTCACACTTGTTTTCACTTACATTTGCTTTGTCTCCTAAACAAAGATAATTATGGGGAATTTATGTATGTGTTCAGATAGGTTACATTGTATTTTCACTTGGTCTGTTACCTCTGGCTTTTTAAAAACTGTTTGAATGATTATTAAGAGTGTCAAACCCCCAGCTCCAACCACAATCCCACTGTGAGGTGTGTGAAGGTGTGAATCTGCCCCTCATGTCCATATTGCTCTTCTAATGTGCCTCTGATCTAACAGGCAGAAAAGACCTCCTGGGTGTGAGAACAGAGCTGCTTCCTCTCAGGTTTCACACCTGCTGCTAAGGTCTTTAGCAAGGAGAGCAGTATTGCACCAATTTTATATGGTTTTTAAGGCTGCAAATGTTTAATCATAAGAAGGATAACAACGAACTTGCCAAAATAAATACTTTGGCTACCTTAAAAATCTTAGTCCTTGCAACTTTGAATGAGATTGAGTTTGTGAGTGCAGATATGATGGTGCAGACCAACTTCTGATTCCGGTGATTTAAAAAGCTGAGCTACTACTTTTACTTTCTGAATAAGGCATGGATGTGATGGTATGCACAGTAATACTGATGTGGTTTTTAAATGATAACAGTCTGTCTTTGTCCCATTCCTAAACTGTGGGTATTATTTGCCTTAACCTTGTTCAATATGTACATTATTTTATATTCTTACATGAAGTAAAACAGTCTTTTTCTATACCTTCACACAACAGCATAAACAAGGCCTAAGTAGTGCAACCAATGTTAAAATATGCTTTACTTTTTAAATTTACAATACAAAATTCATACCTAGTTCTAATTTGATCTAAAGAAGAAAGGGCATTCTTCAAATATTCCTCTAGCTCTTCTTCACAGCTGGCCATTTTCATTTTTTCCAAAATTGTATCCAGATCATCTTTCATCACCTAAGGCCACATTAAAAAGCTAGTAAAAGTGATTTAGTATATACTAAAATCTCCATAACTACTTAGGATTCAAGTAATTTGATTATGTACATATATTCTACACCAAGACCTTAGCAAAACTCTTCACCTATGAAGATCTTCCTAGATAATGAACACCTCTGACACAGTCAGAGTGGCTGTTTTAACAGAGAATTTGGCATCCAACCAGACTCTACACCTGCACAAGATCTCATAATAGCAACTTGCAGCCACTTTGTACAGAAAGCAGCAGTGATCTTTATCACTTTTGTTATATCAAGACAAGACTGTCCATTCAGTGTGAATCAAGCAGTTAGCAAAAATACACTAGACAGAATGAAACTGAAAAGTAGAAATTCTAACATAAAAGTCAAGTTATTTTATAGTGGCTATTTTGAATTCTAGAGGGTTATTTGTATTAAGAAATCCTTTCTTTACATTATGCCACATGCTTGTTTTTATGTTTATACCTGTATTATTTTATCCTTTTGCAATCTGTATTCATCTACTTTCTTCTGAAGTACATCTTCCTGCTGGGACAGTTTGGACAGATGGACATCCCAGAGATCCATGGCCTCCTGAACACAGCTGTACAAGCCTTGACAATGCTGCTCATGCCATTTAGCCATCTCCTTAAAATCACTCTAAAGAAAAACATTCAAGTGAACAAGTTGTTTATAAACTGCTGGAAGGCGAAATGAATGAGTAAGAGGATATGTAACATGATAAAAGGCTGCCTGGAATTACACAACTGGTATTCAACATTGTGTCTTCTATGTGGAGAGTTAAAAAAATAATCCAAGTAAATTGGGTAAGAATGTGGATTTTTATTCTACAAGCTGAGAGTATCAAAACTTCTGTTTATTCTGGCAACATAAAGCACCAAATCACATTCTACAATTTATCTCTTTATGAACAACTGCCCAGTGATTTTTATGTATAGAATCACAACAAATCAGATTGGAAGACTTGGGAGATAATTTAAATATATTCCTCTGCCTTTTAGCAGATTGGGCTAAAATACCTCATTTATCTCTATCATATGTATTTCAGATATAAATTATAATAAAAATACAACATATTACAAATAATGAACACAGTAATTATGAACTCTTCCATGTGAAACTCTCCCACACCAAACTTTGTTTCTTTGTAGTGGTTAGTCACACTATGGACCTCTTTCTAATGTGACATCAACAGCCTAGGATGCAGAAGGCATTGCAAGTGGGAGCACAGAAAGAACAGACTAGTCCCGAGGAGTGATAAAAATAAATGTAATCAACGTACATCCATGTGCTCCAGTTCTTGTTCAAACCTATTTCTTAGTTTCTCAGTCATCTGAAGCATGTTGGAATTCACAAGTTCAACATCTTCTACTGTGCAAATGTTCTTATCCAACAGAGTCATCTAAATGAAAAGAACACAAATTATTGACAGGTGTGTCTTTCAGAGAGCACGGCTAAACTCAGTACTTCTTTTCTTGTGATGGACCAAGACTCAGCCTCCTAGATCCCCCATTCTGTTAGTGAAGACTACAAATCAACTGGATACAGAGGGAGAAACTGAGGTAGAGAGGTGGAACTTCTTTGCCAACATAAGACAGATTTAGCACAAAGGCTGAGGGTCCTTGCATCCCCCACATAAACACAGGACAGCACCCCTTTCATTACTGGCATCTGTTATGACTTTTACACATTTCAAGTACAAATACCAAATACTACTGTGAAACCAAATGGATGCTTACTTTTTGAACTGAGTAAGACAGAGGTTAAAAACTAATTTCACTTGTTATCTCAATGTCTGGTGGATCCGCAAACACATTTTACTGTAATGACATACTGTACCATGGCTACCACACCCAAAGCTGGGACACTCACCTTGCAGGTCTGCACTTTTTCCTGACATTTGCCCTGGACCAGCTTGTATTGGACATGTATTTTCTCCACACACTCTGCATTATGGGTGTCTGAATGATGTGGAACAGACCACAGTCAAAATTCTGTATTTCACAGTGCAGTGTGAAAAGGAAACATGACAGAGGCCCTGCACTGAATCCCAGCACAGGGAACAGATCCCAGCAGTGTCTGCACATCTGTGTGACACTAACAATCAATCAAATAAGATGTTTTCATACACTGCTGTTTATAATTATGCTTAAAAGTAGCAAGTTATTTACAATTGCTACCAACTTCTTTGCTACCATACAGGCTAGAAACATCACAACAGGACGTGCTCTGGAGCAAGAGAAGGCAGGCACAGAGAGAAGCAGATGTTTGCATACACTGCTGTTTATAATTATGCTTAAAAGTAGCAAGTTATTTACAATTGCTACCAACTTCTTTGCTACCATACAGGCTAGAAACATCACAACAGGACATGCTCTGGAGCAAGAGAAGGCAGGCACACAGAGGGAAGGCACTCTACAGGACAGAGAAAGGAAATACCTCCAGTAATTCTTCCCCTCTTCTCCAAGAGTTAAAAAGGAGTATTTTTGTATGATTGAGAACTCATCCGTGTAAAAATTAAACTTTTATTTCCCCAGATTATTTCTAACCAAGCCAGTTCCTGCTAGATGTCACCAGGTACAAGTGCTTGTACCAGCCAAAGGAAAGTGATGTCACAGGCAGCTTCTTAAGGTCTTACAGCCAGCTTAAAGCAACTGAGAAGGTATGTGGGAACACATGCAACAAAGACTAGAGCAAACATGCACTTTCAAAGCAACTGCCTGCCTCATCACTGCCCAAGAACAAAAGAAAGTATTGCTTGAATTTCAGACTGTTTTTATGATTTCCCAACTTACCTATACTTTTGTTTAAATTCTCCAGAGTTGTGTACCAGTCATTTATGTCAGATTTTTTATGTGTTGGAGGCAACAAGGCACTATCAAAGGAGGAAACAAGAGTCAGGTACCTTAAAATACAAACCAGTCAGTTGTACATAAACTGTTATAAAATACAAAATTATGAATCAGAGTGTCCATATTACTGTGCTTTATTTTATTTACAGCCATCTTAGCAATGAAAATCAACCAAAGAGACTGTTGTTGTTCAAGGCCAACTGTTTACTACCCAACAAGGAACTAACTGTAATCCACCTTGTTCCTACATCCACTGCAAATAAACTCCCTGTAAATATTGTAATGCATTGCACCCAAAAATGCTTCTCGTGTTCAGGATGGATATTCAAACATAGCAGTGTTAAATTTGTACACATACTCCTCTCTTAATTTATTACACATGGAGAAAAAACCACCAACTTCTAGTTCTCCACCCATCTTTGTCTGCCAATTTCTACCACGTTTCATATGTCAGTAAGATTTACTTTTGTATTACTGCATTTTTAGCCCTTGATCACTACCTATTTAGGGTAGCTGGTGCAGTGAAAATAAAAAATGCATTTTTCCATTAAAAAGAGCTGTAGAAAAATAGGTTTAGACCCTGTCTTACTGCTGAATTTAACAATCACACACTGACAGAAAGCAAAGTGCATTTTGTAGCCAAGCCCCTCATTAACTCCAGAAAGAACTGTTTTCCTTTATGCTATATCCTCTTTTGCCATACCTAATGTGCTGCAAAACCCTCAGTCTCTGTTCACTGAGTACAATCTGCTCCTTTATCATATTTTCCATTTCCGTTATCACAGCTTGGGGATTCTGTATTTCTTCACTTACCATAAATTCTCTGCAGGATGGAATAAAGATATGTATAATGAAAACATGGTATCATACCTTATATCATATATGATATGCATTAAAAAAAAGTAACTTTTTTTAACTTGTTGTTTTATAGAAACCACAAATGGACACTAGTCACTTTGTGTTATTCATTGTCTAAAATAAGATTGCAAAATTTCTGACCTGAAACTCTGAACTACAGAGTTCTTTTGGATGAGCTTCCAGTCCCTGACTCTCTCTTGCCATTTCAGTTGATGCAATTTTTCTTTCTCAAGCTCTGATTTCATTAAATTAAAGAGCAGCTTGGCAGTTGCCCTCTCATTACCCAGCAGTGCTCTGTTTATATTCTGTGCATGAAAAAATAAAACCAGGTGTAGAAGCAGCATACAACATGCAAAACGAAAAAAGAGAATTGTGTCTTCTACACAAAATATGGGGGGGGGAAAGAATACAAATTATAACAAATACCCTGCAAAGTAGAAATCTCTCTATAGTTCAGTGATTGATAGGCAGAAAAAATTTATTTCATCTGGGGAAAAAAAGACATTCTAGGAATATTCAGACTGCTATCCTGCCCCAAGTAAAACATTTACCATGGCCTTATTGTTAATGAGCTTGTGAACATCAGCTGCCAAGAAGAAGGCAATTTCCTCCAGTTTCACAGTATACTTGGTCAGTACATCTGCTATCTGTGCAACAGAAGAATAAGGAAAAGCAACAACAAAAATTTAACTCAAATATCAGTTTACCAAGTTAAAAAACTACAGGAACAAGTAATTTTTTTTTTTTCCATTAAAATGAATTCCATTAGATTCATTAATTATTCATTAGTTAAATCTATTAAAGTGAATGACAATTAATTGGATGACACACAGTAAATTTTAAAATATTAATCTTAGTTACCTTGAAGACTGATTTTTTCAGTAATTCATAAAAATAGTAACTAAAACATTCCACTTTGCTACTATTCAGCTGATTTCTCTTTAATATCTGTGATAATTGAGTGCTCTGCAGACAGGCTGCAATATGAATTTAAAAATCAAACCAACTTCCTTTCAAATATCTGAAGGGAATCCACCAGTGCCTGTTTTAAGTGAACACAAAATTAAAGCAAATGTGTTCATCTCTGACATTTGTTGTAACTAATCCAACAGAAAGGTTACTGGTGATACTCTGGACCTTTTCATCATACCTGAATTACAAAGAGAGGAGAAACTGGCACTGGTAGAACAAACAGCTTTTCTTTGCCTACAAGGACAGTGCAGCAAGCTCTTCCACAGTCTATCCATTTTTTTATCCAAATATTTCCTATGATGTCCAACGACTTTTACAGGTTAGGCTGAAGACTACATAACTGCAACACGTTTGCTACTGATGCCAGCCAACCCAAACTAAAATCAAGCTAGGTCATGTCTGTGCTCCTTTCAGCTGCAGAGCAGCTATGTACCCCCAAAAAACCAGACCAAATGAAAGTCTGACCTACACAACCCTCCAGGGAAATAAAAGCAGCTCACATATTCCTTGAACCTTTAATATAGGTAACTGTGAAAGAAAGAAACACCTTCAAACTAGGAAAAAGTAGCTTCTGATTATGTGGGTGTAAAATGAGTGAATAGTTTATTGGTGAAAAGAAAGCAATCACCACACAACAGAACTACTGGCAGATCTCTGACTCCTGAGGAAACAAGCTACTCTTTGCTCTGCACCCAGCATTATATTAGCAAATAACAATCTTATGCTTAAGTAACAGTTATTAAGACTGCAGCTCACTTTCATGGCTCGACTCCTTTCAATCTCCTTCAGGGATCTGTCCACTGCCCTAATCCACTTCCTTCTGTTTGAGGACTCCTCATGGATCATATTCCAGAGTTCTTTCAAACCCTGCAATAAAAATCTACTCTCAATTTCACTGAAAAGTGAATATATGTAAAATAAAATTTAAAAAGTATAAAGCAAATAATTTAGGACTCCAATGAGCCATAAGAGCAGACACAAGTAACTGAAGTTGAGCCATTGCTCTGAGTTGCCTTACTTCAAATGAGAAACCTTCCAAAGCCATGTCAGATGCAATCTTTTCAAGCAGAAGTTTACTCTTTTCATCTGATTTCATCACTTCAAGCTGAAGGGATTCTTGAAGATTCAAAACAGAGGCTTCCATCTCCTAAAATGGCAGGTCAGCGTGATCATTTGAATATTGGGCCCTGACCTTAGAAGAGCACTCAAGACTGGGTTAAAACCTCCTGCCCTACCCTGCCAATGCAGTCCAGCTCCTGCTGCATTTCGGTCACTGCTGCATCGTGGCGCTTTTGCCGCCGTTCTGCCAGGTACTTCCATGTACTGCTGCTTGTTTCCTCAGGAACTGCCAAGGAAGAAATGAGGATTCTGTAGCCTGGTGCTGCTGCAGAACATGGGAATCATGAAAAATAAATCCCTAAATCTACACTATGACTGCTGTAGGTTGTGCAGCTTTCACAGTGTGTAACATCTTTCCATGGGAAATGCAATCTCAGCAAAGGCAGGTTAAAAATACTAGGGCATATTTTAAAATTTCCTTTATTAACTTCTGATTTTTCAGAAGGATAATAGCATGGAACTATCAACTAAGCTCAGGTATGATTTAAAAAAATTGCAACATTTCAGGAATGAGATCTGATTATATCAAAACTGGAATTTATCATCTAAACATAACCTGTGATTGACTGACAATTTCACAACTTTTGGGGGTTTTTTTCTATTAGAAGACTCTTAATCTTCAAAATTACCAACTAATCATCAAAAAAGTGTCAGGCCATTTCTGAGCTTGATTTTTGTTGCCTTGCAGGAGAAAGAGTCCCAGTGAGTGTAACCAAACTGTGTATTCTACTCCCCTCTACCTCATTTTGTGATGACCTGTTAATGATGGGTGGTTTTCAGTGCACACCTGACCCCCAGGATACCAGCTGGGTGTTAAAATAAGACAGGCAAACCCTGCAAGGCGAGGCATTTCTTTATCTTTAGAATGACTCAGCTGGGGAAACAGCAGCATCACCCATCCAGTGAGGGTCATCTGTGCTAATGGGCCACGATGAACTGATTATGCACTAGCAGAATGGGCAGCTGAAATGACTACCACAGACTCCAGAAATATTCCAGGACTCATGCGATTGCATCACTTCATTCCATTGGGAACCTCCCTGCACTGGGGCATGTACCACCTGAACCCCACTGTATATAATTTAGGCACTCTGGGGACTTGGGACACCACCACCACTGGACATCCAAAAGAGGAGCCAAACTTCCACAAAACCACCCCTTCTGACAGGACTGCAAACCTGATCAACAGGGTGCCAGCTTGTACTCTGACTTTGAGGTTTTCAACCAGTTTTTCTGTATCATTGCGTTTGCTGTAATCTTTCTATTAAATTGTAACTCAAATTTGAAATCTCTCAAAAGGTATTTGTGTGGGGTTAATTTCTCCTGCTGGTTTACTTTCAAACCAGCACAACTTTATACCTTGTTCAGCTAAACCTGTTACATGTACCACATGAATGCAAATTAAAATAGATGGGATTAAGGGAAACCAGTTTTACCAACTACATCAGGCAGGCCTCTGACTTTCTCAGCTGAACTTGCATCTACATTTCCCCGTGTCTCTGGAAAAGTTGTAGATTGTCTGAAATATTAAGAGAATAAAGCTTCATTTTGTACTAAAAATGCACCAGAAGAGGGTGTAGTATAATGCACTTTAATTGGCAAAATGTAACATTAAAGTGAACATAAGTATCATTCTAACTTTAAAGAATATAATTCAAGGAATCAAAATTCCTTCTTCTGAGACAAATTGAAGTCTGGGTAGGTCCCAGCTTCAAATCCATTAGGATGGCATTACAGCAACACATGCTAGATTTAGAACATGTAAACTACAGAGACTTAGAGAATAGCTCTAAAATGTAAAAATCCTATGAACTCTTAAGGAGACACTAGGAAGAAATGTGGAAACAGCCTTTATCTGCCCAGTGCTTTTCTCAACAGCTTAGGCACTGTGTTTCTCCTTGGGGTGGGGTCAGTGAGAATCCCTGTATCATTATTCAGCAGCTGGCTTAGGGTAAAAAAGGATGGATGCATTAACTTCATTCTTGTTCATTACATTATCTTACTGCACCATCATGTAAGCCATTTAGCTGGAAATAGAGCCTAAAAAGTATGTGTCACACTGGGTGTATATCTAGATTGCTATGAGCAAAGACAATTTCTTTTTAAAAGGAAAGCCATACCATATGCCTGTCATTGCAAATATTAGTCTGTTAGCCTGCACTTCAAGTAAGCAGTTCATTATATTAAATTTACATTTGGCAAGGAGACAGTGTATTACAAGTTGTTAGTGCTATGACCAAGAATTCAGGGGTTTCTAATTCCCTGTGAAAATCTGTCAATTTCATACCTTCAGTTATGAACATATAATTGGGGTTTTAGGCTTCTGTTCCCTACCTGTCTGACTGTGGTGTTTTTGTGAAGTCACTGACGGGTGATTTTCCAACACATTTCTGCTGATTACTCGGTGATGGCATGGCATCAGCAAACATTTCTGAATGTCTATTTACAGTGCACTTTTTACTCTTCTTAGAGGACCTTGTCTTCTTCTTTCCTTCATCCAAAAGGTAGGCTAAGCACGCCTTCAAAGAACCATAATCTCAACAATTAGAATTCCTTCAAACCTACTGAATGGAGAACAGCGACAAAATAATTAATAAAAAATAGTAGGGGAAAAACAACAGAAGAGAAAGGTAAAACAATGAACCCTACCTGCCACATGCATAACCATTTTCATCGAAGGCTATTTTCAAAATGAGAAAAAAAAGGATAATCTTCCTCGGAGAGGAAAAGTGGAGTAACTGCAGGGTGTTGCCTTGCTTGTAGTTACCAGAAAAGTCAACAGCAGAGTGAGAAATGCCTGAATCTGGCTAACTATGCCTCTAAATGTTTTACTGCTGGGTTGTGATTCTGCCTTCAGTTAATATAACCTGATATATAACAAAGAGATGGGAACACATGTAGATGCATTGGAGAGCATATGCTGGAGATAACACATTCATTTTCACTAAAACAAACCAAAACCAGAAATGTTGAAAATGACCTGGGGTCATTTCAACAACCACGAAACTGACTAACACAACAAATTCCTTTGGCTTTTGCCAAATCCTTTGCTTTTTTTACCTTGGCCTTGAAGATCTGTTTACAGCCTTCCTCTCTGTGAACATGTCACTGCCGTCCCATTGAGAACTTGTTGTTCATCGCAGCTGACTGGCCGGGCCTGCTTCCAGAAGAACTGGCAACTCCAAGCTGGGAGCCAAGAAGAGATACAACACTTCAGTTGGAAAAGGGCCTTCTTGTTCCTTGAATCACAGAATGGTTTGGGCTGGAAGGGACCTTAGATCATCTTCCAGCCTCCTGCCATGGGCAGGGACACCCTGCACTATCCCAGGTTGCCCCAAGCCCTGTCCAGCCTGGCCTTGGACACTGCCAGGGATGAGGCACCCACAGCCTCTCTTAGCAACCTGTGCCAGGGTCTCAGCACCCACACAGGGAAGAAATCCTTCCCAATATCCCATCTAACCCTGCCCTCGGGCAGTTTGAAGCCATTTCCACTTGTCCGGCCACTCCAGGCCCTTTTCCAAAGTCCCTCTTTGGAGCCCCTGTAGGCACTGCAAGGGTCTCTAAGCACTCCCTTCTCTCGTGCAGCCCGGACACCCCCAGCTGTCCCAGCCTATCCTAGAGCAGAGGCGCTCCAGCCTCCAAAGCAGCTCGGGGAGACTCCTAACGGCGAAACTCCAGGCCCATCGCCCACCTTCCAGGCGCGGCGGGTGTCGCTCCCGGTGTCGCTCCCGGCTCCCCGCCCGCTCCCCGCGGGGCCTCAGGCGGAACCGCGCGCGCCGTTGTCACACCAACGGGCCGGGGCGAGCGGGGCGGCCCGGCCGCGCCCACGGCGCCCCCGGGTGGCCGCTGCCGGCAGCTCCCGGCTGGCACATCCCGGCCGCCTTCTCATCCCGGCCGCCTGTCCTCATCCCGGCCGCCTTCTCATCCCGGCCGCCTCCTCCTCATCCCGGCCGCCTGTCCTCATCCCGGCCGCCTCCTCCTCATCCCGGCCGCCTCCTCCTCATCCCGGCCGCCTCCTCCTCATCCCGGCCGCTTCTCCTCATCCCTGCTGTCTGTCCTCATCCCGGCCGCTTCTCCTCATCCCGGCCGCTTCTCCTCATCCCTGCTGTCTGTCCTCATCCCGGCCGCCTCTCCTCATCCCGGCCCGCCCCCCCGGGAGGGACCAGAGCTCCGGAACCGCGGGCCACAGCCCCAGTTCGTCTCTGCCCAAGGCAGGCCAGACTTCCCACGTCCGCACCTTTCAGCTCAGCACGGGAATGAGAACACGCCTGCGCTTGGGGGAAGGAACCTCGAAGGTCTCCCCCATACGTGGTCTCTCAATGCCTAAGCTGTTGCCATTCCTGAAGCTAGACTAACACCTTTTTTTTTTTGCCTTGCAGCTAAAAAACACCACTGTTCTGGTCTGCAAGTAAAAGTGCAGAAATTGAACAAAATATATTTTCTCTGGATTTCAGCCGGTTTCTTTCTTAAACTGCTCTCACAACAGCCAAGATAACAGTGCTCTGTGGTATGTCTGTCCCACCAGGCCACGTTCCTGCTCCCCACCTGCAGCTGAGCCAGGCTCCAGGCCCCGGGAATGCACCCAGGGACCCGCGGTGCGAGCGCTGTGCTGCTGAGCCAGGGAGCTCTTCATAAGGAACATCACACATGCTGTCCTGTCCCCTGTCAAAGATCCTGGGGGCCTTCCACCGACACCCCCATGGAGGCAGGGCCAGGAGATCTCCGGCTTGCCCACGGGACAGCTTTCCTCATGGACATCACAGAGGCCATTCCCCATTCCAGACCTTTGCGCCTGCACACATCCTGGGGCACACGGACAGGAGCCGGTCACCCTCTGGCTTCCCCAAGCACCAGCACAGGGACAAAATAATTGGGGGTCTCCTGAGTGGTCTCCCCCAAACCAGCTCTGGGCGCTCTGCACCCTGGAAGGGTGTGGGCACCCAGGGCTACCACCCCGTCCTGCTTGCCAGCCTGTGGCCATCACCGGTGCCGAGCACTGCTAGGACATCTCTCGGCTGGGACAGGGGAAGGAGCGAGCAGGGCTGCGGGAGGGAGCAGCAGTGGGGAAGGCTCAAAGCTGGCAAGGTCACCAGAGCAGGGAGAGGAGTAGATTCTGCTTGGATGGAGCCGATGCGTGACAAGAGGGTGATCTAGAGGTGAAAAAAGGCTTTCCTGGAGGGTGTTGCTGGAGCAATCAGCTTGTCACATCTGCTGGTCATACATAAGGGGTCACAGGCAAGTGCTCTTGTGAATGGGCAAAATCTTGAGCAGGTCACTCAAGGAACTCTGGAGCTTTTCGTTTCAGGGGACTGAGAATTGTGGAGGAAGTAGGATGCTAGTATTTCAGAGTAGTGTTTCAAACCAGGTGCTTACAGATTGTGTCCTGCTGAAGGATTGTTCTGTAGTGCTTAAACTTGGTCTGAAAGTTTATGATTTATTGCTGTCTCAGCCTCTTCACTGAAATGGTTGGCATCAGCCTACCACCATGCAACTCTCGGTCCCTAAGCTAGGGTTAGGCTTCCAAAAACCACAAAGCCCAGAGCACCAGGCACAATTTAGTTGCAAAAGGCATGCCAAGGGGAATACAAAACTTCCAAAACATGGCTCCCTCTCCACAGAACCCTTCTCAACACCGCAGGAACCTGAACAAAAATGACGCCCATTTTCTCTGGGAAACAAACATTTGTCTATATGTTGACTTTTATATGCAGGAGCACTTAAGAGTCTGGGTCTGATTAAGAAATTTTAGGCAAACCATCTTGTTCCCTTTGAACAGTCTCTAGCATCTAAGATGTACGAGTTAAATTAGAATGCCAGCCAGCAAGGATCTGGTAAATTGTCCCTAATTTGTTTCCAGTAGCCATGGCTTGTATGGGGTGGCCTAATGGTGGCCTTCCAGTTTCTGAAGGGAGCATATGAGAAAGATGGGGAATTACTAATTCCAAGGGTCTGGGGTGTCAAGAGGCCCTGGCACCCTGGCACAGGTTTCCTGGAGATGGTTGCCCTGTCCCTGGGAGTGTTCAAGGCCAGATTGGACAGGGCTTGGAGCAAACTGGTCTATTTATTGCTGTCTCAGCCTCTTCACTGAAATGGTTGGCATCAGCCTACCACCATGCAACTCTCGGTCCCTAAGCTAGGGTTAGGCTTCCAAAAACCACAAAGCCCAGAGCACCAGGCACAATTTAGTTGCAAAAGGCATGCCAAGGGGAATACAAAACTTCCAAAACATGGCTCCCTCTCCACAGAACCCTTCTCAACACCGCAGGAACCTGAACAAAAATGACGCCCATTTTCTCTGGGAAACAAACTCACCAGTCCAGGTTCCTGGTGTCAGTTTGCAGGATGGACTTGCCACTGTTAATTCAGGCTGAGTTTGTCGGGGTGGCAGCTTGGGTCTGGGAGGCATCCTATGCCGTGTGGAACCTCAGCAGGCAGCCTGCCACTCCTGCCCACAGTCCTTCAGCACATGTCCAGGTGTGTTTCTTGCACATCTGGGCATGTGCTGGCTCATGTTCAGCTGAAGTGGTGATTCCTCTCTCTGTAAACTGGTCTAGAGGAATGTGTTGCTGCCTATGGCAGGGAGGTTGGAACCAGATGATTTACAAGGTCCTCTTCTAACCCAAACCACTCTCTGATTCTCTGAATGCAGATGAGTACTACAATAATAATAACAATTTTGAAACATTTTGGTGATTGTCATCAAGAAACAACATTCAAGAGGAAAACATTCTCAGCACAATGATGGTTTGTGCAATTATAATCTCTTCTACAAGGTCATGAAATTAAAATTTATGTTAATTACAGCCCATAGCAATGATTATGCTAACAAACTGTTCCACTAATTATATTTAGGTATTTAGATTGCATTAATCAAAAAGTTTTATGCAAAGATTTGAATATTGCCTATATCTCATAAATAATAAAGACTATTAATGGAGATAATACATGCCTCAACCCACAATTACAGCAACATGTTTTAATTCAGTTGCTTAGCACACAAGTTTAAAAAATGAATTAGGAAACATAGATACTAATCAATTCTATGAGATTCATATTCACACTGGCTTATCTTTGTACTTTTTTTTTTTTCTTTAAGTAAGATGGAAATTCAAGAAACAAAGTGAAATATCTTCCTTTTTCATAATGAAAGGCTTTTTTCAACAGGTATTACAGCTCTTTGAACTTCCCTCTGACCAAACCAGTATTGTACATATTGGGTTTTTACCTTCTGCCCATGAACCAAGGGATCCAGCCTGATGCTCAGTGCTGCTCTCATGTCACTTACAGACTCTTGAGCCAGCCCTAGGAGTGGCCCAGGCTCTCCACCACACACCCACTCTGGGTGGCTTGGGCCTCAAAAGTAGCATCTTCTTTGGCCAGCTGAGTATTACAACTTCATTGTACATTTATTGAGAAAGACAAATGGAAACTATTGCACACAGCAGTTACTGCCACAAAAATTCTTGTCCTACAGTCCTATGTGGTTCTCTTAATGAGAACAATTCAACATCAGCAATGAATATTGGATAAAATTTGAGGGAAGCGATGAAGGATAATATAGCCACTGACAAGCCTGAGAAATGGGCTGACCACAAGGAACATCACCAAGTTCAAGAATGGGAAGCCCAAAGTCCTGTTTCTGCAGAGGAACTCTACCAGACAGGCACCAGAGCATACTGGGGGCCACCTAGCTGGGCTGGAAAGCTTTTGTCAGGAAAGGCTTTGGAAGTCCTGGAGAGCACCAAGGCCAGCACAAGCCAAAACATGCACCCTTCTGGGATCCTGAGCTGCACTGAGAGGGCAGCCAGCAGGCCAAGGGAGGGGATCCTTCTCCTCTGCTCAGCACAGATGAGCACCTCCAGGGCTGGCTCCAGGTTGGGGCTCCTCAGCTCAGAAGAATGCAGTGAAGAGCTGTGAATATGATGATGGAGGGATGGAGCAGCTCCACCCTGAGGGAAGGTGGAGGAAGATGGAACTATTAAGCCTGGAGAAGAGAAGGCCTAGGGAGATCTTTTCCAAGTCTATAAATACCTGAATGGAGGGATCAAAGCAGATGGAGCCAGGCTCTTTTCAGTGGGCCCAGTGACACAACCAGAGAGTGGTGACAAACTGAAATACAGGCGGTTCCCTCTGATCTCCAGGAAACACTTTGTTATTGTGAGGATGACTGGGCACTGGCATGGGTTGCCCAGGGTGGTTGTGAAGCTTCCTCCTTCAAGCTTTTGAAAAACTGCTGAGACACAGTTTTCTTTTTCAAATTTGTTCACAAACTAAAAGAAAAGAAGAAAATGCAAAAAGGTACTTTTTGCTAACACTTAAGAAAACAGTAAAACTGTGGTAATTTTAAAAATGAATGGTTTCCTTCCATTGATACTTGTTTCAGAAGGATATTAGTTTGGTACATTATTACCAAATTAAATACTTTAACTAGTCATTCCAGATAAGAAGATGCAATTGCAATTACAAACTATGTTTTGCTTATGGAGTTTAGCAATATGACAAAGTAGATAATGTACACCTCTTTTCTTAAAAATTTGGTAACTGAAATTTTCATGAATAAGAAAACTTACAAAGTTATATTATAATACTTTCTATTATTTCCTTTTACTGAGAAAATTTAATTAAAATCAGCAAACTCATAGAGAGGAAGAATAAATTGAAATACATCTGTTTTGTGCAATTAGCAAAGTCTTTTCCAAAAAATCAAAACCCAAGCACCCAAAGACCACCAGCAAAAAAGCTGTTTGTAGTGACAGTTAAGTTGACAAATGATTGTCATTTTACCTGGGCCAAATCAAGTGTAAACCCTCAGGATTATCTAATTCCTTACAGAAGTAGCTATATCATGATAACATTTTATGAGGTATTTAATGGACGTTTACAAAGCTGGGACAAGGACAAAGAGTTAAAAGACTGCTCTCAAAAGTAAATAGTTACATCTCCTGTCATTTTATATCTATTTCCTGGCCTGGGGAATTTTTAATTTCCAAACCTGCATGATGCACAGCACACAGCAAAACACTCTTTGGAGCATTAAAAAAAGGTCACATTTATAAGTAGCAGTGCCTTACAGCAAGACTGACATTTAATGGAGTGACAAACTGGTCTCCATGTCCAGAGCTGTCAGTCACAATGATGAATAAAGGCTGCTGGTGTAGAGATTACTGATTTACCTGGATGAAGGGGTAAGCACAGGGCACATACTGGGACTGTGTAGAATTGTAGTTGTAGGGAACCCCCAAGCCTGCTGTCCTCCAGAAGAGAAAAACACTCCCATCCAACTTGGCATGATCTGTGAGCTTACTGAGGGTGCACTCCATCCCCTTGTCCACAACACTGATAAAGATATTAAACAGGACCAGCTGCATGAACTCCATTTTCCACCACTCTGTGGGCCTGGCCATCGCCCAGTTTATCACCCAGCAAACAGGGCACCCATCCAAACCATGAGCAGACAGCTCCTTCAGGAGAAGGACGTGGGACTCACTGCAAAAAGGAGCAGGGAGATGCCTAGGAAGCCTCTCAGGTGAATTCAGGAGAATATAGTGGAGGGCTGTTCAGTTTGCAAATCAGTCTTGTTTAAAGAACTCTATATAACCATAACAAAACAAACAAAAAAGAAACCAAACAAAAAACCCCAAACAGACAAAAAACAAAAATCAAACAAACCCCAAAAACAACAACAACAAAAAAACCACCAAAAAAACCCACCACAACCCAAACATTAGGTTGAAGGTTTTTACTAACTTACCAAAAACCCCAAAAAGTCATATTTCTGTAGGCTGCTGTCCCAGTCTCTTCTCTCTGCTGGAGGACATCCTGAAGTGGAGCCAGCTGGAAGCAGGTGGGCCAGGACAGCCCCTGGGCTATTCTCACAGGCCAGCCCTGTGGCTGCCCCACTGTCAAAACCTGGACACATAAACCAAACACAGTTATGCACATGTGCTTAGACAGAGCAAAAATATTTTTGTCTTAAAAAAATAATTCATTTTGGCCATACATTTATATCACTGGAAAAAGCATAATGGCTCATTACAGTTTTCTTTTCAGTCACTACAAATGTTTAGAAAATATAGGAGTGCAAAAAATGGAAATATCATAGATCAATATGAAAACCAATTACAAGATTCCATTTTTGAAACTGCGTTGGACATCCTCTGTAGAATTTTACTCAGACCATTGAGATTTACAAAGAAGACCAAGAGTACTGCAGTCAAATGGCTTCTGTGCTAGTACAACACAGTCCCTGGAGACCTCAGCAGATTTCTCAAATATGATGGAGGGAGCACCTTAGCAGCTACAGCTCCCAGTTCTCTCAGGCCCCTGACATCTATCTGGGTGGGTCCCATGGCCTTGTGGATGCTCAGGTGGTCTTAAACTTGACCTTCTGCTACCATGGCTTGGAATTCAGTCCACCGGTCCAATAACCTGAGAGATGTGGGAAGAGGGACTGGCAGTAAAAATTGAGACCAACAGTTGTTGAGTACCTCGGCCTTCTCCTTGTCTGTTGTCACTAGTCCTGTCTGGCTTATGGGCGTGGAGGGGAGTAGGGGAGGTGTGGTAAGTCTCTTTTCATCTTTCTTTTCTCACTGGAGTACCTTTCAGTGGGAAAAGAAAGATAATAATAGGTGCTCTTATTATTTTTTGCATTCTCTTCCAAATACAGCTTCAACTGAGCCTTAGGTATACTGATCCCATTCTCACACACCATGTGTTATCTCTGTATTTTTCCCATGATGTCTGTTGCTGTGTACTGTCTGCACATTACCTTCTTACATCACATACATGAATTTTCAATAACCTTCTTGCTTTAATTTTCTTTCAGAAACCTTTTTGCATTATGTATGTTGTCTGCATATTACCTTTTTGCACTTTGAACAAGGAGATACTTACTCTGCCAAGCCAGCCTCCTGCATTCCTTGTCTGACTTCCTACAAACGGAAGTTGTGAGTTCTTGTTCTCAAACTAAAATTGTTTTAAATGGGTGCCAGCTCTGTTCAGCTACATTGTCCTTAGGGACAGTTTCCAGGGCATCCCATCCACTACTTCCTTAAAAAACTGAAAGTTTGCTCTCCTAAAATGTCTTAATCAGACCCAGACTCTTAAGTGCTCCTGCATATAAAAGTCAACATATAGACAAATGTTTACAAAAGCCAGTTTGAATGAACACGGGGGAAAAAAAAAAAAAGTAAAAGCAGCTCTCATGCCAAGGATCAAAGCCCAACACTCAGAATTCCCAGCTGGCACTCACTCCCAAGTGCTGCAGCAATACTCAGTCCCAAGGCACAGGAAAGTTCCATGGCAGCCCTTGCAGTGCCCTGCAAAGGCGAGGGCTGGCTCACTGCTGCTGTCCTTCCCTAGCCACGGATTCCAGCCCTGAGCCCTCTGCTTCTCCCCTTGTGCATTCTCAGCTCTGCACGGCAAATGTGCTGCCATCGGGAGATGCAGATTATTCCATTCCCGACAATTCAGCAGAGTATAACTTCCAGGAAGAGTGAGTCACCTGTAGCCAAAATTGGCATCTGTTCCTAATTCTTGCACAGAAATTTTGGGCGATTTGACCACGCCCTCTAATACCTGCTCTGTTTGTGCGGCTGTAAAGTGGGATTTAAAAATTCCTAACAAGAGTGCTCGAAGACATAATAATGTTTCTTCGTGAAGTCCTATGGCTTCTCCAGAGGAGCGGTGCTTTCCACGGTGAGTGGAAGATCAGTGACTTTGCCGTGCCTCCGTCGCAGGGCAGGAAATCCCGGGAGCGGGCAGCGCCCGGTGTGCGCCGGCAGCGACCGCCCGGGGTCCCCCTCGCAGCGCAGAGCGCTCCGAGCGCCTCCAGCGCCGCTGCTCCCGGCGGGAATGGATTCCCGGGAGCACAGGGATGGAGGGATGGATGGATGGCGGCTGGAAGTGTCCCGAGGGAGCGCCGGCTGCCATTCACACCCGAGAGGTCACTTGGCCGGCAATTCACACCTGAGGGGTCATTGGCTGCCAGAAGGGCAGGTGAGCCAGCACGGAGAAGTGTGCAGGGAACAGCGAGCGACAGCTGAAAGGTCTGTGCTGGAAGTTATTCCATGGCAATTCCTCGTCTGCTGGGAACAATGAGAGAGGCAGCAGCTGCTCCTCCCGCAGCACAGGAGTGTCCTGGGGGTTGCGGTTTAAGGACCCAGAGCCTCATTTCATAGAGGTGAAAAGCCAAAGAGCACAAGCCCTGAGCAGCGCAGGTTCCCTGGCAGAGCTGCTGTGCACTGCTCACACAGGACAGAGCAGGCACGGGAGAGTGCAGACGCTCTCTGCTGCCGAGTCCTGCCTCACAAGTGTCAGCAGAGAGCTAGAGACCAGGAATGATGATCGGGCTCCCTGGTTTCTCTTCTCTGTTGCATCCCGGACAGTGGTATTGAAATGAATCGTTCTTTGTGACAGACTCCTCGAAGCTTTATTCTCCACTTCAGATTCTTCTTCCTCCTGGAAAAGACCTGCTTCCCCTTTGCTTTGTGTTTATCTTCTGCTACACCTTGGTTGGTTAAAAAAAAGAATTTCTCAACTGCTACTTTGGAAGGGAGAGAGGAATCACCACAGCCAATGTCTTTTAGATTCTGAAAGGAAATTTTGTCATCCAATGAAAAGACTTACAAAACCCAAAAAGGCATTCTAAAGGGAATTATTCAGGAGCAATATTTACTAAGTACAAGATTTTTTCTATAGCCACTGAATGTATTGACCTTCATTTACCCATTTGCTATAGAAGGAATTATAGCATGCTTTGTAATTCAATATACCCTTTTAAATACTTACCTGTGAGATTTAATATGTGATGTTAATGGTAGTAGACACAGATGGAGAAAGAAATAGAGCCTTTTCCTCAAACTATCACAAATCAATAAGCTACAAAATATAATTTTGTAAACTAAAAATCATGGCAAGTCCCTTTAATTCTTGAATAGATATGTGACCAACTGAAAAGGTGATAATATCTCCTCTCTTATAAACTAATTTCCCTGGCTTTAAAGGTAGGAATTTAGACACCTTCTTACTGAAACCTTGCATCTTGAGTTATGTGATAAATTCTCTTGAGGTCATGTTACATATTTAGTACGAATACCTTCATTACATTCCCATGCTTTCTCTTCCCAGACCTGTGCACTTTGGACCCGATTTGTTTCTTCCAGGAGTGATATTTGGTATTCAGAACAGCCAGTCCTTTGTAGATTAGGAATACTATAGGATGTAACTGTGGAGATAACCACAAAAGAGGAGGAGAAAAGTCATTCAGACTTCCTTTCAGTGTTTGTGATACCCCTTTTAGTAGTAGATTTACTGGTAATTATCCATTCCCCGTGGACATGCTGACAGGACAAAGCAAATAAACTGATGGAAAAATATAGCTTTTTTTTTTTTTTGTGAAAGGAATTACAAGTGTTTGTTCTCATGTCCTTCTCTTTTATCTGAGTATTTCCCTCAAGTCCACTGACTAAAAGTAGTCATAAAAATATATTTGCAAGCAAAATTTGTTGAAATTTACAGCATAACACAAATAAATCCACAATATTAATGTTTTCTTCTTCACATCCAGACAACTGTAAGCAAAGTCATGTTGCAAGCAAAAATAACCTGTGTTTATTGGCACAAAACTGTTGTGGAGGATTACCCTCACTATGCTCAGAGTGTGAAAATGATTCAGAGTGGAAGCTCACATTTGTACAGATATTTGGGAACTCAACCTGTGAGAAAGAGGATAGCATGGAGCAAGATTTTATCTTACATATTTTAAGAACACAACATTAAACAACAAGTGTCTAAAATAGCAAAACATTTTTCAGCATATCTTTATAAAAGAATCTGAAAAGATGCACTGGAAAGCAGGAGAAAGTATATCTGAGTGTTTATCTGAAGTATTTGTGCTAGTCTGAGACTCAAAAAGTTGGATACAATTCTCATAAGAATTATAGTTTCTTCTGGGATTTCCAGTTCTTATTTATTCTGATCCTGATCTTATGCAAAGAAAAGAATAAAAAAAATCCCCTATGGCTGTGCAGTTTACAATCATATCAAAACTGGTGGGAAAATAGCTTTAAAATCAGCATCCTCAGTTTCTGAAATTTCTGCAATGGATCAGCTATGCTTTGGTAACATTATTCCCATAAATCATTACACTCAAAAAGAAACTACAGCCTTTAATTTCAGGATATCTGTGAATTTTAAGTTTCTACAGTCATTACATTAAGTAAGATACTTAACAACCTACCTACACAGTAAGAACCTCAGCAAATACATTCCCTGTCAAAATCTGAGGGCATGAATCTCTGATTTAATATTCCTAACAGATCAGATCAGTCCTTGGGGACTTCACTTTTTTTTTTTTTAAATGTGGTCAAGGGATTTATGAAGCCCTAATATTGCTATGTGGGCACATATGCTCTAAGCCACCACCAGTTCAGAGTCCTGCACTGTTTGGCCTCAGATCTGTTGGATGTCCATAGCTCCACATGGAGATAGGTCTAGCTCTTCCTCAAAAAAAAAAACAACCAGAAGCATGAAGTAGATGCCTTCTGTTGGAACTAGTTCAGACTGAATATTTTTTTCATTACCTGTATCTGATGACGTTAAGCAGACGCTGTAAAACCAATATTAATTTATAATTAAATAAATAGAGTATTGTCCCTGCCTGTATTTCTGTTATGGTTTAGAATGCTGCTTCCCAGTTTTGAGACTGTCCCAAACCAGATACTGCTTCCTTGCTCCCACCTTCCCCTCCCTCTTTCTGAGGATGGAGCTGAGAACTGGAGGCACAAAAGGTGAAAATCACCAGCTAAGAACAATTTCCTGGAAATAGCAATGAGATAAGAAAGCAAGCAGTAGCAGTATTAACTACAAAGGTGTACAAAGAGAGGGTGATTTACATGCAAAATGCTCACCGGGCTGGGACAAATGAAAGCAGTGGTGGACAGCTCCAACACCCTTCTCCCAAGAGACACACTCCCTTTTCCTCTGCCCTGGCAATGACCTAAGGAGGAATATTATAACACAATGTCCTGGGCATGCCCCCTCCTGCTGCTCTGGGCTGGAACAAGAGCAACTTATTATCATGAGTCCAGAAAAATGTAATATTTCTTGCTTAAGTCTAAAACAGTAACAGAGCATGCCAGCTATGCCCCTGTAGAATTTCAGCTATGCCACTGAAGAATTTCTTACTGCCTGTCAAATAGAAGAAATCAGATATAATCCAGAGATATCTTCTGAGTAATTTTTTATCTGAATGTTAAGGTGCTGAAATTATTCTAGGTGACTCCATTCACGTTCAAGCAAAATGACTTGACATTTAGGCATATTTCTGCAACATCTTGCAGGTTAAAAGATAAAACCAGGATAATTTATTTCTGGTTGTCAAGCGCAATAATTCATTGCTGCTATAGCTCACATAGGGAAAAAATCTGTTCCTCAATAATTTAATACTTAGAAGTAATAAAACATCCTTTAGGAAAAAATGAAGTAAATAAAACTGAATAAAACCAGGACATCTGTCACGGACAGATGCATAAACATGATCATTTGCACTCTAGTGAGACTGGAATTAGACTGGAAATGTATCATATCAATAATGATGTAATTGTGATGACTTTATGGAATGCCTCAGGGTGTGCTAGAGACATTGCCAATGAGTAAGAATAGGTGAATAATACACCTAAAGAGAAGGGAAAGATACAAGAGGAAGCAGGAAAGGGGAGACCAAAATTGGACTAAATGAATGTCAGGGGTTTCTCACATACGAGTTGACATCTGTTGCTAGATGAGTTGTGCCTGGAGGTACAAGATACCTTGGGATGAGACTATATATTTGTTGAGCAAACAAATCCAGCAAGGATAAAAGTGATCCTGGGTTCTTCCTTTACACTCAGGTGCTTCAAGCTACACCAGTGCATATTGATGCCTCCTCAGAGTCTTTGAACAGTATCTTTCAGAAACATCCACATGCAAGAGACATTTTTGCTTCTTGCTTCAAGCCACAAACCAGCTTGTGTTGTGCATCTGAGCTCTGTGCACCAGGCACATGCAGGATAAGGACACTTCTGCTGCTCAGCAGGCTGCCTGCTGATTTGTTTTCCTAATAATCAGAGCTTGCATTGCTCACAAAATTAGGAAACAATGGATCCTGCTGAAATCAACTCTCTGAGTGCATGCCTTATCCAGAGCTACTGAATCCCTAATCCTTACACAGTCCTTTCCAAACAACCAGACAATCAGATACACTTCAGAAAATATTCTTTACCTTTCCTCTATGTTACAGAAAGCTGAGACAGTGTGTGCTTTGGTATTGAAAAGGCCTCCTGCAATTATATAAATAGAATATGAGACAATTTCCCCCACAGGAAGAGTATATTGCCATGGTAACCAAGAAAGGAAGTCGATTTAGCATTGGAGTTCCCATTTTCCTCAATTTCTGTATTAGCATTTGCTTGTGGCAGTTACGTTATTTAGAACCAAAGAACTTTAATCAAAGTTATAAAATTTCTGGAAGCAGTGGGAGCTTGCTTACATTATGGGAAAGTGTTATTTCTCCATTCTAATAAGTAGACGTTAATATAATCATAAAATGGTTTGGCTGGATCTCTAAAGCTCCTCTAGACCAAGCCTCCTGCCATGAGCAGGTATAACTTCCACAGTGGAAGGCAGCAGAGATCAAATTGCTCAACACTGGCCAAACTGATAATAAGCACTTTCAATGATGGGGCATCCACAACTTCTCTGCAGCACCCATTTGAGTGTCTCACAAGCTTTGTTGGAGAAAAGTTTTTCCTTTTAGCCAACCTAAACCTACCCTCAGTTTGAAAAGTTGATATCACATGCAGAGACTCCTTTGGGTTTGATTGGTTTTTTTTCCCAAGTACTCCTGCTCCTCAATACTTCATATTTGCCACTTAGACTGTAACCAATCCCTTATTTCAAAGCTCATGACTTAGTGGTGAGCTGAAGGAACTGCTGTTGATGCTGGTGCTGGAGAGATTTTTGATTGGGGTCATTGATGCTGCAGAATGTGATTTACATTCAGATAACAGCATCTCTATGAAGGGTTCGTATTAGATGATGTGTAACAGCTGAACACGGGATTCCAGCATGATGCAGTCACCTCAAAGCTCTCAGCTGGTTTGAATTCAGGTGTGGGATACTCTACAGCTGCCTTTAGTGTCTCACCATGGAACCACTGTCCAAAACCCTGCCTCTTCTTGTGGGGGTCTAATGAAATAAAGATTATTTTTTTTTTAAATCGAGAAATAGGATTGCAGAGTTGAAAGACAAATCTTAGCCAAGTTATTTGGTGACCATCTGATTTTGATCAGCTGGTAGAGTAGCAGATCAATTGCAGAAGACAGCCTTCTTCTGATGACCTTCACATTATGTGACAGCATAAAATTAAAGAACATTCTCATGACTACAAGCCTTAGTGTATCTCCTCTTTAATTCATATTTTTCCAAAGAATGTTCTGCATCAGAAGAATTTAAAAAAAAATGTAATTGGAGCAGAAGGCTGTACTTTGTGAAAGATATGTTATGACTGAATAAATGTCTCTATACCATTCAAAAGTCAATGTTCCTATGCATCCAGACAGAATGCTGGCCATCTGTGATGTGCAAGCAATTCCTTTGGACAAGTCACAAACAGATATAAAGAAATGCAAGATTCACTGCGAAATGATGAACTCAGAAGTGGCAGGGACACGCTGCAAGTCAGTGCTCAGAGAGAAGGGGGGTCTAATTCATATTTCTACAGGGATTTGTCCATTAGTGTCAGAACATAGCAGAATAGAGCCTTGCTGCAGATTCCTCCAGACAGTGCTGGAACTTTGTTGTAATGACTTGCAGTGACACTTCCAAACTGTTAGTGGCTCTGGAGTAACTTAATCCTTCATGCAAAAACACTTGCTGCGTAAGAAGACAGACATTAATTGCTGTACTATGGTTTAGAGAGGTCATGAAAAGTGACCTTAAATATAGATTATCACTGAAATATAAGCAATCCATAATAAAAGCTTTGATAACTGTGTCTTGGTCTTTACATGGCACCCACCATATGTATCTAAAGTACTTATGAAGCCAGAAAAATGAAAAAAAAAATTACAGTGATAATCTTGCTTAGATTATCATGAGACAAGGAAGACAAATGTGAAACTGCAATGACCATATGGTACTGCTCATCAGGACTGCATTGAATGACCTAATAAATTCCCTCCATCTCTAGATTATATGAACTCTCACATTTAGAAGTAGATGGTACTTCAATGGTACTTTTTAACAGCTATGCTTACAGTAATTTGAATTTCTTGTGTTAGAAATAACTCACTTTTTTATACAATTGAGGGGGCGGGGGGGGAAAGTCCTCAAAGGAAAAACTGTTTATTTCTATCAAGGAGTCAGCTGAGCTGGGTGTCTGTCTGTCCCCTGAGAGGTCAATACACACACCCTTTATCAAAATGTTAACATTTTATACCCTGTGGCCACTCTCCTCTTTCCCACTGGATGGGTGCTCAGGAATTGCAATCTCTTCTGACCACCTACTCTTCTCTTCCCCTTCCCCCTCATCCCCCTTCCCCCTCTGGTCACATCTTCAAGCCTGCTTCTCTCCTGATTCCCAAAAATACTTAACAGGTGAAAGGAACCCATTAACAAAACCACATAGATAACAACCAGTAGGAAACAGAATTAACAATTTACCTTGTTTTTTACTCCACAGTCTTTTTGGGCTGAAGCAAAATGTTATTTTGTTTCTCACACTGGCCTGTGCAGTAGTAGCTCTTGCACTTTCTCTTTTCTCTTTCTCTTCCTTTTCCTCTATTTCCTCTTTATTGTACTTCTGCTTTAAATGTGGATAACTATTTAGAAGACAAGAAAAGGTGATGGGGTACAAACCCCTTGCCACTGTCTGCTTCAATTCCCATCCATAATAAATACATATAATATTTTGTACACAGCAATTATAGAAAGGGCTGTGATTTTTCCATCAGGAACCATTGACAAATTAGCATAAAATAGCATTAATGAAGAAACAATTATATCTGAAGGCCTTTTATTGTTTGATTTCTACTATTATTGTTCCTTAACAACTCTAATCACTGACAGTGCACAAATATATTTACCTCTCCAGCTCCATTTAGTCCAAAACAAAAGTGAACAACCATCTTATATTACACTTCAATCATTCTAATTGTTAAAATTCATTCTTACTTTGTGGCAATAACGCAGGAAACAATTTACCAAAGTGATCCTAACAGCATCCAAATTATTCACGTTTCCATATACACAACATTTAAGTACTAAGATCTGCAGTCTATTTTTTCCTGGACCTTGACTGCACATCACTCCAAGTATCTTTTCACTTGATAAACACAAATTCACATTATTTTTTTAACAAGCTCACAAAGCAAAGCTGAATCTGAGCACCCAACACTGTTCAGCAGGGAGTATGGACAGAATGGGAGCCCTGCTGTGCCCAGACAAAGCAAGGAAGAGAGAAATAGTCAGAAAAGGGAGAGAGAACAGAGTTTATCAGCAGTCCTTAGATCCCACACGATCCTGCTGTGTGGATGGTTCTGGAGCTGAGCTTGTGAAAGAACAAAGGAAGTTGTTTGCCCCAGTAGGTTCTTTCCCTTCATTCAAATAAATTTGCAGGACTCCTCTGCTGGAATCCGAAATGCAAGGAACTCTCAGAACTCTGGGCCTCTAAGCCAAAGCTTAGAATTAAACACAGGATTTGATGTGAGACTTTGGGAAAGGCTTCCAAACTCAGGTGCTTGAAGCAAGAAAGTGGATTTACAGTTTAAAGCAGAGACACATTAAGTAAAGGAAAGTTTAGAGTTTAATGGTTTAAGATACAGAAAAAAAATAAAAGTAGTTGCACAGGTAAACAAGGAGTTTTGGATGCAGTAGTGCAGGTTTGTGTGTCATAACAAGATTGGCTAAGAAAGCTTACTCTGTAGCATGGGTCCACAAGATGAAATATTTAAGGATTGGGTTAAAAACATACATGTCCTTGTTAGCAGTGTTTTATTGTTCAATAACTCTTAAAAGATATTTTAACTAATGGTCTTGTGGCCTTCTGAACTGTGCTGTAACAGTGTGAGCCTAATTCAGCCTACACAGAAGATAAAAAATAAACCACATAATTAAAAACAATTCAGAGGTCCTGCCTCTAATTCTCTCCAAAATCCCCCACAAGTGAATTGTCCCACTCTTCTGTCTCCTTTCTGGACATAAACCTCTGGTGTTGTGAATAGTTTTCTGTACACAATGTTTGAGATACAAACATGCCTGGTCCTCCACCAAAGTCCCAGCTGTATCCTAACAGACATAAAATAAATAAAAAATTAATAAACTACCCATCAGAATAGGTTAAATTATCAAATATCCAGGGAAATAGATCAACTATCAGGGAGCAAGGCTAGATATCAGGGAATCAGAAGCACAAATATTGCCCATAAACCTCAGGAATTTTGGGTGAGCTCCCAAAGGATAAAAGAGCAGAAAACATTCAGATCAAATAACACTCATGGATCAGGGCTAAAAGTTTACAGACCATTTGGGTATTAAACATCTCTAAAACCCCAGAAAAACGGACTGAATGTGTAGCATTTGAGTATTTGATGTGCTGGCTAAGAGTCTGAACATACCATGACTGCTGAAAAGAGCTTTAGAGAAAATGTCATGGTGGGAAAAATGTCTAGAAGAGAGTTACATAAATATTTTTCCTGATTTTATTAGGCAGGAACACATAAGTTAGGTAAGGAAAGAAAGAAGCCATGAAGACAGAATTTCAGTGCTGCTGTAAGCAGAAACCTGTGTCTCAGAAATGTGTTGCAGGATATTCACTGGTTCAGTAACACTGGGTTTGATTAACTGAACCCAACCAAATTACAATTAGGGGAGAAAACTGGTGTTTCACATGCAGAATAATAATCTTCTTAGATAAGAATTACTGCTGAAACTGCTCCAATTCTCAAATAATCTAATAAATAAAAGAGGGCTAATGTTAGTACAGATTTAATTTTAACAAGTGGACAGTTTGTAGGAAAACTGCTCATTTATTTTAAGAATAGATAAAATAAGTTGCATAGAATTGTTCCTTTGGATTGCTGGTGTTTTCTTTTTAATTTTAGATGACATTTTTCATTTCAGAAAGTCAGCCTTTGAGAGTTTCAGGCAATGAGTTGATGAAGGAAACTAAGGAGCTTAAAGTTATATAGGATTTTTCATTTCCAGATATATATTACTTCTTTAATCTCACATCATGTACAAGAGGAAAAACAATAAAAGAGAGGACTCTGAATCTGAGGAGATGAGTAACTCCTCCTGTAATCTTGTTAGGGGTAAACACTAGGCAGTGATAAAATAAATGTCTGAAGGAAGATGTGCCTTGAAATCAAGAAGAGAAAGAGAATTTGTTCATTGCTTCAATAAAGATAAACTAGTCTTTGAAAAAAAGATGTTAAAACAGATGGGGAAAGATTTTGTGGTCATATAAATTAAAACAAATAAGTAAGAAGGGGAGATGATCTGCTATAGAGGCATTTGACAATGAAGCTACCCTTTAAAAGGGAAGGCTCCAAAATCAATACCATGCTTTAATTTTCACTAAGGAAGAGGTAATGGGGATGAAACTGTGGAACTGACTCTAATGGGAATAACAGTCAAAGGTTCCAGTGCATTCAATTAAGGGAACACAATCCTCAAATTCTGAAAGAATTGATATGTGAAAACCGGTTCTCATAACGAGGATTTTAAACAGGAAGCATTTCAGGGCAGATTATAAACCATTATCCTGTCCTGCACTCACTTATTTTTGTAAAAACTCTTTGATAAGTTTAAAACATGAATGATCATTGTTTTCCAGAGTAATTATATAAGAGAAATATGTAGGGGTATTAAGGAGAAGATGTTAATTAAAAAATGATCTAATTGTAAAGGTAGGTTTTTGTAGGAACATACCAGTGGTGTTACAGGCGCTGATCTCTTTTGAAATATTTTCCTTTTCTTCTTGGTCCTAAAAAAATACAAACAGAAGTGGTAGTGATCAAAACACTATCCCCAAAAACATGATGCTACTAATAACGCATACATTCCTCAACAGTTCTGCAAAAATCATCCTGCTCTAAATAACCACTGAGATCAAGATTAAAAAAACCATGAAATCAAATTCTTTACACAGACAGGTATCACAATTGCAAAACAGCAAAACATTAATTTTGGCTTCTTTTTTTGAATTATTGTATTACTAGACCAAGCCATTTTATCAGTGTACAGTTTACAGACTATGTTACCAATTTGTTTTTTATAAACATTTAATCTCAATTCCCATAAAACACAATGCTTCTCTTTAATCCAGCTATTCAGTTTTGAATTCCCCTGCAATTATGGAAATCCCCCACGTGTCTTGGCTTGCTTCACCAAGAATGAATCATTAGTGAAAAGGAGCACTTGATTTCCAACAGTTGCAACCACTGGATTGTATTCCTTTCTCTAATAGAAAAATACCTCTGGATCATTTGCCACTTTATGTCTTTAATGATAAATGCCTACATTTTGCCACCATAAGACCTTACCCAGGGCTGTGAAAATTCTATATTCTTAAATTATCATGAAAGTCAAACACAGCCCCATTAGACTGGAGGGAAAAAAGAAGTCATCCACTGAAAAGGAACCATTCAAATCCAAACTGTGGGGGGTCCCAGCTGTTGGTTTTTCTGGGTCTGGATTGAAGACACTTGGGACAGTAATTAGTGTTCAGACTCAAGTGTTTGTTATTTCTTATCAGTAAAACAGTCTCACCACTACTGTGAGTGGGGTAGCTTTTCATTAGAAGGCACAAAATGGCTAACAATCCTTGTTACAAGGTCTTTTAAGACTAAACTATCCAATTAAGAACTGACACCTAGATTATTTTCCCTTTTAACCCAATAACTGATCCTAAAGATCCTGCAATGTGGACTTTACTGCCCAGTTACCAAATGCCACCCAAACCCATGAAGAAGAAGGAAGAAGAAGAAACCCAGGCTGACACCCTGTGCCCTCCATCTTGCTTCCATTCACAACATACTAAAAATCCCAAAACTGAAATTTCTCACCAAGTGATACACCTACACTACTCTCTATAATCTATTGCACAATTTCGTGGATTCTAGTCTACCTTGAAGTCTGGGAAACGTTCTCCCTGAATGAGGGTCAAAGTCAGTGCTCCCCTGGGGGTCAGGGCACCCCAGAGCAAACAGAGAAATATTCCTGGTGCCCTGGGCTTCCACACCAAACCAGCACATTGCCTGGTTCAAAACACCTGGGGTTCCAAATTCAGAACACTCTGCTGTAGGAGTCCCTGGTGCCTTGTTCTCTTCTGCAGGGTTTAAAATTAGAATTAGTAATTAGAATTGGTAAAATTAAAGGCAATGGGCAAAGAACAGTCTGCTTGGTAATAGAATTTTTACAGTTAGCTTATAGCATTTACACAGTTCTATAGTGATATTCTTCTATTTTTTAATACTTCCTTTTGGAAATGCCACAGGATATTTAGGTTTTCAAGGAATATTTGAAGGTTTATTTGAAGGAATGGAAGAAGGTTTTTAAGGAATATTTGTGTTAGCCTTCAATATGCAGCACTCGCCCATTTTTGAACATTAAATTTATCATACATAGAATTTTGCTGAAAGATTTATTTATTTTTGGAGAATAAACCTACAGGTTTCTTGCTGTCAACATAAGCTCACTTCAGATCAGTAGATGCCATTCCCATGCAGAGTGTTTGCTGCCAAAATTATTTTTGAGAACCAAAACATGTTGTCCTTGTAATGTATTTTACCTCTCCCAAGATTTTATTCTCCTGAGAAAG